GGATCACTATAATGCCATCACACCAATAAACACCACCAAAAGATTGGTTTTGGACTACAAACTGCTCAAGACAATTCTAAGATGGCTAACTGAGATGGTCTGCCCTCTTGCACCACTCCAGCCAGAACTCCAGATAAATCCATTACTCAGAGACTGCTTACAAATGTTGCAGCTAGTTCTACAAATACTTAACCATTGTTTCAGTTCTTACAGGGCCCCATAGAGACATGTCACCCCCAACAGCAGGAAGCAATTCTAAGAAAATGATACCTACTTTTCCAATAGGTGGGGCTGGTAGTTTGGGTTTTTTTCCCTCAAAGTTAAGGTTAATTGTCATCTGTATGGGGTGGTAACAAGTTGTAAGAGGGTTGGGAGCAGAACAATAGAAATTGAACTTAGGAAGCTCATTTGAAATAGAAAAATGGGGGATAGGCATGATAAGATTAAAAGGTGGAATAAGAGGTAGACTCTCAGTTTTAAATAATTTACATTGGTATAGATTCTTGTATATTGATACAAATCCAAAGTTATTTTTGTTATGTTGTATATATGTTCCTTCTGTTTTAGATATTTTTGTACATTGATACAAATGTAAAATTATTTTTGTCGGGGGCTGGAGAGATGGCTCAGAGGTTAAGAGCACTGACTGCTCTTCCAGAGGTCCTGAGTTCAATTCCCAGCAACCACATGCTGAATCACAGCCATCTGTAAGGAGATCTGGTGCCCTCTTCTGGCCTGCAGTCATACATGCTGTATACATAATAAATAAATAAATCTAAAAAAAATTATTTTTGTCATACTGTACATGTTTCTACTTGTGTTTAGGATATTTTTGTATGCTGATGCAAAATAAGGTTATTTTTTCATATTGTATTTTACATTTTTGCCTCTCAATAAGTGTGGCGATATAGTGTTTGTAATCTAGGAAATAAAGCTTGCCTGAAGATCAAAGGACAGAGCTAGCCACAGAGTTAGTCATGGAGGTCAGGCAGTGGTGGCACACACCTTTAATCCTAGCACTCAGAAGGCAGAGGCAGAGATCCATTTGGATTTCTTGAGTTCAAGGCCACACTGGGCTATATGAGATTAATTCAGTCCCAAAGAGAAAGCTAGGCAGTGGTGGCACACACCTTTAAATCGAGCACTTGGGATCACACACCTTTAATCCCAGCACTAGGATGGTTGAGACAGGAAGTGATATGAAAGGAATATAAGGCAGGAGGAGACAGGAATTAGCTCTCTTTCAGGCTGAGGAGTTGGTGAGGTAAGAGGTGGTAGCTGTGGCTTGTTCTGCTTCTCTGATATTTCAGCTTTCACCCTTATATCTGGCTCTAGGTTTTTATGAAGACCAATTAGGATTTGTGCAACAGTTAAGATATTTTTTTATATTGTCACACTTGTGAGGTTATTGTCCTTATACTGTACCTTGGTTTCTAATTTTGTAAAGGTATTATTACCTCTACAGCTTGTTTATTTTTATAATATGAAGCTTTAGTCCTTAAGGTATATAGGTTAATAATAATTACAAGTTAATAGTCACCCATGTTTGTCAAACTTATAGTCATGTTAGTTAGATTTTCTAGACATGCAGAGGTAAGATATAAATAGACAGATGATCTTCAAACATTTCAAAGACCTACAGAATATGGTATTTAAAATTTTGTAATGATTTAGAATTCTTTTGACATGAAGCCTGTCTGCTGCTGGCAGTACTGATCCACTGCGGAGATGATGACGGGCACTGAAAACACTCCATATGGAGTTTGTTTTCCCTTTGGCAAAAATGGCTTATTGGGCAAGAAACTGCCCTTGCCGTGATTGCTGACAGCAAGTACGCTGTCCAATCTGGACAAACAGGACACTCACACACACACACACACACAAAATGGGACTGCTGAACCTTGCCAAGACAGGATAGGACAGTTCTTTACATTTTCGTGATTCTGAAAAAAGTCTGTCAGGTATTCTAGGCCTATAAGCCAAAGTTGGATGATCCAATGTTACAGAGAAACCTTGGGTGACTGTCCAGGCAGCCAGCTGTTTCTGTCATTCCTTGCAGTTTTTGGAAGTAGCTTGCTTGCACTTCCCGCTTACTCAGGTAATATTATCTTCCTTCTCAGGTTTTTGAAGAGGTTGAAGACCAAATATTTACAGTTATTGTCCTCCTGAATCTTAGCTAAAGACACATTAGGTCCAAAACTTAGATTCTCCAGGAAAGGACAACTATTGGAGTAATCTCTATAAAAATTGCCTATTACTATGGTTTGGATATCCAGAATGTATTTCCTTCTTAATATTGTTCTTGTTGTATGTAGTTTCATTCTTTGTTAAGAGTATTACCTTTTCCTTTCTCTGGACAATACTTGATAATTGTTCTTATTGTATATAGTTTTTATTATGTTAGGGTTAGAACCTTCCTTTTTATTTTAGACAAAAGGGGGAAATGCTGTGAGAATTTGGCTACTTGGTCTAATGACCAATGGCATGGAATGGGGTTGGCCTGATGGGCACGTTCTTCTCTGAGGATACCTAATCCTTTAAAAATCAAGTGGGGAGGATTGTGTGCCCTTGTACATGGAAGGCTTCCTGATGCCATAGCTCAGTGACCTCATCTGGACCTCTCCCCATCCCTCCCTGGTGGATGAAAATTCAGTGGCACTACTTCATTCTGTATTCATGAGTGTGCTATACCAATTTTATCCTCTAATAAATAAGTCCTGATCCAAGATTTCTCTGGCTTGCCACATTAGGGGGATTGGTTACAGGTTGTTACTGGTAATGGTCAGGAAAAAAAATGAATAAAGGAAATTAGATTCAGAGATCTCCTTCTAAAAAGAAAAGGGGGGATATAGAAATGATAGGATAAAAGGGTATATTATTGAATCTACTTTAATCCACAAAAAGAACTATTAATCTTAAATATTTTATATTGCTATGGATTTCAGTTTATTGGTACAAATTTAAAGTTATTTCTGTTAATCTGTATGTATGTTTCTACTCTTGTTTGGGTTTTGTGCTAATCAGCTCATTAAAACTGTAATGTATAGTTTTTTAACTATACAGATTAATCTTCATCTATGATAGTCAAACTTATACTCAGGTATGTTTTCAAGGTTATTCACAGATATATTAGATAGGCAGATGCTCTTCAAATACTTCAAAGACCTATAGAATATGGCATTTAAAAATGTGTTAATAACATAAGGCTTTTCATGATAGTGAGACATGTCCACTCTTGGCAACACCAATTTGCTTAAAAAAAGGATGATGGGCATCCAAGTACCTCTATATGGAGTTTGCTTTCTATGTGGTAAAACCTAGCCATTGGCAAAGAAACTGCCCTTGCCTTGACTGATGACAGTATACTGTCCAAACTAGACAGGCAGCATACAAAGATAAGTGACTGCCAAACTTTGCCAAGACAAGACAGGATAGTTCTTCAAAATTCCTCCTTCACACAAAAGTCTGTCAGATATTCTAGGTCTGAAAGTCAAAGATGGATGCCCCAATGCTACAGAGGAACCTCAGAATCACTGTCCAGGCAGCCAGATATCTCTGTCATATCTATAGTTTTGGAAGTTGCTTTCTCTACTTTTCCTGGGCCCAAAAGCCCATCCATGGAGGTATCTATCTTATGGAAGTACAATTTCATTTGAAAGGTGAAGGCTCATCGTAGGGGCTCATGCTCAAAACTGTACTTCTAGGAAAGTTTCTCCGGGGTCAGCACCCAAAGTAGAAGGAAACTGTGCGATGGGGCTGACACTGTCCCAAGACAGTAGAACATGACAGCACCGTCTACATTGTACTGGATGTGTAGACAGGAAGTGCACCCTGGAGGTCACCATGACTCTCTTCAGCACTATTAAAGAGAACAGCCTCACCATATGACTGGTCAGATGTTCAGTGCCCTCCTAACAATCCCTGTGGGGTCACTCTCCATGGAACATGGTGATCGCTAAGTGGAATTGGAACTGCACCATATACTCATGACAGAACCATAGGAAACTGGACTGTTTAGATAGTTTGAGCTATCTGTGCTTCAGTCCTGAGTGAATGACCCAGGACCAGTGACCCTTCACTAGGGAGGTAAGCATGAGCTCCTAGCACACACCTGGTGGTGAATATGGACCTGAGTTTGTGAAAAACCATGGAGACACTGGTAAAACTCTAGTAGAGCTCTCACAAAAACTAAATGGCTTACAGAGATTACTAGGTGAAAGTTTTCAAGGGAATGAAGGACAGGTGGAAAACTCCTGAGGTGGATTAGGGGAGATCTTTGCAAGTAAATGTCAGAGAGTTGGACATTTAACTTTGTTCAGTGATTATACCGTCTCTGTGTCCCTCATCAATACACTGTAGAGAGTCCAATGTTCTCACAAAACTGTTTTCCAAGCCGTGGAGTCAGATCCATGAATGGCTCACACAGAGTGTCGGTACAGAAGAAGGATTACTTATTATTTGTAGGACAGCATATTAAGACATAGCCGACATTATACTCAACTGCTTTAACCCGTCTTTGTTTAGTTGTGTTTTGTTTTGACTTTCCCTTTTTACTTAGAAACAAGCTCTCTTTAAATTTCCCAGTCCAGCCTTTCATTCCCGAGTCCATTTGTCAAGTAACCGCTGAGCAGTTAGACGGCTGGTTTCAAAATCATGGTTAAAAGATACTTCTCATTTCCACATTAGTGTATTGCTTCATTATTTTAAAGCAAAACTGAGTCATGTGATTTTTAAACGCTGTAGTAAGATTAAATCACAAATATGGACCAGAAAACTTACAAGGCTAGTATTTCTGTCAAAGACTCGACTCACATTAATAATCTAGTGTTGTGGATCTGGAAGTGAACACCAGTCTCACTCCCTAGGGATGTCCTGCTGACTCAGCTTCTGCCTCCAAAACACTACTGCGGGCAGCCGGACACAAATCCAGGAAGTGTAGAAATCTCTATACATAGGTTCCCGGAATTTTTTCGCATAGATTTCTGGGAAACGTAGTCCAAACGACTGTGACGTCATAGGGAGACATCCAGGAAATCCCCATCAGGCTTTTGGTCCACACACGTGCAGCTTTCCCAAAGTTGGGCGAGAGTCCTGCCCTACTCGACAGTCCTGTTGCATCTCTGACATGGAGGTTGGTCCAGGGTGCAGCGTAACCTGAGGCACTGTGCGGGGTTCCGGGGTCCGTCCTGGAGGGAGCGGACCTGGGCTGGGTGGGAGGGCGGAAGAAGCTGCCTTGGAGGTGCTGTGCTGAACTGGCTGGGTCACGTGAGGTTGCAGGTCAGGGCTGGGGAGAGGGCGATAGGGACTGCGCTCTGAGTGATTTCCTTAGGACGCCTCTTGCCATTCGAGTCTGCCTTGGGCTTCTGGGACAGGAGAGCTGCCTGGTAGCGCGGAGTAGATGATAGTGCAAAGTCCTGGATTGCAAACTAATGATGGCCAGCTGACAGCCTGCTTCTGAGGTGGAGCTGGGAGCTCACTGAGCAGCTTTGGTGGGGAAGCATGCTTCTCTAGCTGAGCCGTTCTCAATGGACGCTGTCAGATTTCTCAGAATCTGTAGAGCAAACGGGGTCTGGTCCTTCCTGAACTCTGTAGCCGGCCTCGTGTAACGGTCTTGAGGTCTTGATCGTGGTCATTTTGGCTGACAGATAAAGGATCAAGAAAGGAAAAACCTGAGGTACAACAGTTCACCAATGTGAAATTCTGGAGCACAGCAGACAGATCTGCCAGAATCAGCTGCTGTAGAAAAGCTTTGGCTACACATAGAACAGGCACAGATAGAGGCATTTTCTGCAGGAAGAAGGAACTGGAGAAGCTGACTCCGGCCTCACCTTGAGGGCTGGGTTTTCTTAACCTTGGAAAGGTCTTCCATCCCTTATGTAGAGTTGACCACAATGGTTGTGTCAACAAGTCTTGATCTAGCCTTGAGCTTGTTGAGGTAGTCCATAAGAAGGGTCTCTAAGAACAGGTGAAAAACTCTCATGGCCTTGGGTTCCAGTGCCAGGCTTTTGTGTCAGGTCAGTGGGGTGAGGAAGAACTCACAGACTGTGTGTATTCATGTGATTTACAGTAGACAGACCTGTGATAGGAAAGAAACTCCAGTCTACTCTATTGCACATCCCTGTCATCTCTGAATTTGTTAGTGGGAGGCAGGACCTCTGGTCCTCCTCTGCTTCATAGCAAATTCAAGGCCAGAGTCTGTGTCAGAAAACATTTAAACATATGTCATGGTCATGAGATATACCTTCTATGGTTCATTTCATGTTTCTTATAGTGAACACCATGACAAACCCCTGCAATCAGCACTTTGCTGACTTAACTATTTGTGGTTAACTTCTGTTGACTAAATTACTCACTAACATGTTTTTGTTAAAGAGACTAAATTTTTGGAGATTAGACAGTTGTTTGCAATTATTATGCGGAGAAGAGTTCCTCTTTGCCTGGCTTGAATATTCCTTCCTATATGCAGTGATTGTTCATTCTTTTTGGATATTAATCTGTGTTTGTTACTGTCATGACCTGATGCTGATTTCTTCTGCTTTCACTGATTTCTTCCAGTTTGCTCCTTTCATATCTAATCCGAGACCCCATTATTTCTTCATTTCCATTCTGCAGTTCTTGACTGATGTGGCTGCTGTGGTTACATTCCCGGGTCTTTTTCTGCAGCTGCAGCTGGGATGCCTTCCCCTGTCCTTACTCCAGAGGTTCCACTGTGTGCAGATGCTTCTTACAGTGAGCCAGAACAAAACCACTTCCTCCCTGTCCTTCACATGGGCACTGCCATGTTCAACCAGTAAAGCCAAGTGCTAATGCTGGTTCCTGCTCTTCACAGGTCCAGTCCAGTTCCCCTTGTTGAGCAGTCCTGTCTCTTTCCTCTCAGGCTTCTTTCATTGTGTTCTAATGTCAGTGTGAGGGAGGGAGTTCCTTGTGTTTACAACTCATGCATGAGCCTTTCTGTGTTAGACATGTCATATCTGGAAAACTCTGGAGGGGAGGTGTGCTGGGTGAGGACATTCAGTTCCTGTTGATCAAACTATATGACTATGTCAGAGGCCATGGAGAGACATTGCATAAAATGTGAACAGGGGTCAAACACATATCCAAGGAATAAACCTGAGCAGCACAGATTTTTCATTACATTGTCAATTATGGGTTATAAAAGTGTCTGGCATAATGTTCTACATAGTTATTATCAAGTGCAGAAACATATTTTGGGTTGAAAGGTGTGTATTGTTGCATGGCCATCTTGTTGAAAATCTGTATTCCATTATTCTCTTCTTTGCAGTGTCTCTATGAAATTAAGTCAAATCTGTGAGAATGCATGTCACCAATCTTTATTAGATACACTTCACTTACTGGGGCTTTAAGAAGACTGAGAAACAGTATACTGACTACTAAAATCCACAAATACATCAAGACATCTAATGTAAAAGGCAAAGCTTGTGATAATATTTTGAAATTTAATAATTATGGAATTCTTGTTTCCAAATCTAGTACTATGTTTGATATCTCAATTTTTTCATGATTTATTCGATTTTCTATGTTATATCATTCTAAGACGTCATAATTAATGACTCTTTCATGCCACATGTGTGTAAGTATAGAGCCTGGGTGGAGAACTTGGAGTTGGTACTTGATGATGTGTATAGTGTGTATTTTAAACACTATGTCTTTTGATCAGGACATAGGCTGCTTTGAATGGAAGGTCACTACTGTTAGGAACCTGATCAGGAATCCAGTCCTCCCTTTGCATCTGGCTTGGACTTCCCACCAATTTTCAGTGTTTTCTGATTTTTCTGAAAAGGTATCTCAGAGGAATACTGACAGGAGATGCAGGAGTTCTTAATGTATCTACTCTGTCCATTCTGTTGTTCTAGACTTGACTCTAGGACCAGTCTCTATTCAAGTGGACTACAGATTTCTGGCTCCCAATTATATTGAGAATGTTATCAATTTTTAATGAATGACAGTTTGCCCACCTCAGAGCAGACATTATTTGTACTTCTTCTCTATAGAAAGTGAATTTTGCCAGATTCACATTCCCTTGAAATGGTTGCCATTAGTTGTATTGGATAAAATTCCTACTTAAATGCTCTCCTGTTTACAGATGCACTGCCCTCCACTGACAGCATCTCATAGGAGATTGACCTCAAGACAGCAGACACTTCCTCATGGAATGGTGGTAGACAGTGCTGGGCAACACAGGCAGTGATCCTTGCAGTTAGTTCTCCATTGGAGACCTATAATATTTCTCTCACAGAAGTATGTTTCCATCTTCACTGTGCTCAGGGCTCTTTCCATTCTCCACAGTGACTATTTTCCCCTGCTCTTGGTGATCATATTGTTAAAATGAGTCTCATCCGTGTTTTTTTTTTTCCCTTTGGGTTTTTTTTGTCCTCTTCCTTGTAAAGGTAGAAACGTACTCCACTAGCTACAAAGAAGCTTCACTACAGTTCAGTTGCTTTTCTTTTGAGAAATTACTGGGTGTTCTATTCATCAGTTTTCTTCAGTTATCCTGTGACTTAGAAATGTGTTGTCCTAGTTCCTACTTAACTCTGCCGTTTATTGAAGGATATTATTTGTGTGGTCATTCTTTACAGAATATACATTTCTGCTGTACCAAAGGTCTTGTTACAATAGCTACTCCATCCTCCCAATGCTGACACAAACTCAGAGGATTGGAGCTGTATTTGACATGAAGGTCTCCTGTCTAAAGGTGAATTTTATTAGCGCTGGAAGGTGCTTTGCAAGCTCCAAGGCAGAGAGCAATAAATAATCTTGCTTAACTCTTATGCCCATGAACCACAACAAAGACCAGTGCAGCTAGAGTTTTCCTGGTCCTGCCTGGCCCACAGTCAGGACAAATCTTTCTTACCTGCCAGTTCCACAGCCACTCAGACCCAACCAAGTAAACACACAGAGACTTATATTGCTTACAAAATGTATGGCCATGGCAGGCTTCTTGTTAACTTCTTATATCTTAAATCAACCCATTTCTATAAATCTAGACCTTGCCACATGGCTCGTGGCTTACCGGTATCTTAACATCTGCTTCTCTTCTTGGTGTTTGGCAGCGTCTCTTCCTGCCTGGCTCCTGGCCAATCAGCATTTTGTTTATACAGAGCGATATCCACAGCACTTCCCCTTTTCTTTTTTTTTTAAAAGGAAGGTTTTAACTTTCACATAGTAAAATTACATATAACAAAACAGTTATCAAGGAAGAATTACAGTTATAATATCTAGTCTATTTGTATTTGGCAAAATAAAAGAAAATATTCTATCTATCCTATATTTGTGAGTCTAAGGTTTCATATCTAACTTGTCTTTTATCATAACTAAGGAAATTATAACTATCTAGTCTTCAACTACATCAGAGACCTTATAATATTACCTGAGAAATGGGAGGATGCAAGCAACTTTCGAGAATCTTGTGAGAGTAGACAGAGACAACTGGCAGCCTGGACAGTCACCTAATGTTCCTTTGTAAATTGGGGCATCTGTCTTCAGCCCACAGGCCTAGAGTCTCTCAGTCACTTTTCTCTGTGTCCTGTAAAATGTCTGGCAGTTTCCTCTGCAAAACAGGAACCTAAAGGACCATTTTGCCAAGCAAAGTTCAGTGGTCACCTTCCTATGGATCCTGCATGTCCAGTTGATCAAGCAGTCCAGGCAAGAACAGTTTCTTGCCCAAATGGCTGTTTTTGCCAAGGTGAAAATAAACTCCATGTGGAGTGTCTTCCATGCCCACCCTCCTCTGAAGTAAATCGGTGCTGCCAGGAGCAGTCATGTCTCACTGTCCAGAAAGTCTAAATTTTTAAAACATTTTAAATGCCATAGTGTTTGAAGATTACCTATCTATCTGAATTATATCTATGTATGCCTAGAAAACAACATGACTATAAGTTTGACTATCATAGAAAACTAATTATTAATCTGTATTTCTTAATTATCCACTACAATCTAAATGAGTTACATAAACATAATACCTCAAATGAGAATAGAAATTTTCACACAGTATAACAAAATTAAGTTTAAACTTGTATCAATAAACTAAAAGCCATAGCAATGTAAAACATTTTAAACAAGTTCCTCTTTAAAAGTAGTTTCAGTAATCTACCCTTTCATCCTCTCATATCTATATCACAATCCCTAACTGCACTCCAAGTACTTCTCCTTGGACCCACACTGGAGTGTCCCTGGCACTGCTCTGCCATAGGTGCTTCTTGCTGCAGCACAGAGTGAATTACAAAAAAATGAAAACAGACCAAAATGCAGAGAACTGTTGTCTTGTGGTGCCATGAACCTGAAAGATCAGAGAACAGGGATCAGCCACAGTTGCTTGCTACCTCTGTCGCTGCTCAGTTCAAAAGGGCTGAGATCCTGTCTCCGCCCTACCTGATGACTTCTAGTCCTTTTCCTCGACAGTCCTCCAAACCTTGATGGTTAGCTACTGGCTCGCTCCACCCTCTGACTCCAAGGAAGCTTCATTTTTCAGAACACAATCAAAATATCCAACCTCCCTAAATAAGGACAAATATCTATAACCCACTGACTGATCAAAAACACCATCACACCTCTTGGGAATGTAGGTGTCGTGTTCTTAAAATTACTTCCTGTTCTCTGGGGATGACGTCATCTTTAGGGGATCCTGAAAGAAAAATGAGATAATGGTCAAGTCCTGGGAGAGCTTGCTGTATCATTTGTTGCCCAGTCTCTGTAATGGGAAAGAACAGGGCTTGTCTCAAGTCCTGGCTGGAGTAGTCTGTGAGACTGGACTGTCTCAGCTGGCCACCTTGAATTTGTTCTAAGCAGTTTGTATTCCAAAGCTGATCTTTGGGTGGTGGTTGTCAGCTCAGTGGCATTACCATAGTGCCAGTGGAGTCATCATTGTGGGGCCCCATCCTTCTTTTGGAGACTTCAAAGGTTTCTCTTAGGCATGGTCATCATGGTTCACTGCGGAAAACTTAAACATTTTCTGTGTCATATACAGTAAATCTTGAAGAGGTCAAAGGACAATAATTTGTTATGTACATCCAGAGTACAAAAACCTTAATTCCTAGTTACCTGATAGAGACACAAACCGAAAATCATGTACAGGAATCTGTATGAAGCCTTTTTCTAGAATTAGTACTCTGTATGACCATTAGTATCATGAAAAAAGTTAAATATATATATATATATATATATATATATATAAAAATTATAAATTTTGAGATAATATTTATAACTTAAGAAAAGTTTTAAAGAGACAAAATAAAACCAAAGTATTATGAGATTACTGGCAATAGAATGGTCCCTTAATTTGGTTTTCCTTCTGTCCCATATCAGGTGGCTCTTCTGACATAAGACAGACTTTGGATTTTGCTTTAACAAGCATGCTTGGGTTTAGAGGAGAGACATGCTCCAACTCCAAAGCCAGCTTTAATTTTTAACTGAACTGGGACTACAAAAAGACTATTTGCATTATATGTTTTAGGGAACAGCAGAAACAAAAATTTAGCAAGATTTATGAAATTTTATTCTGTTAGAAATGTGATATACTGGTAGACCAATTTACTCCTTTTCTTGGGACATTTTCTCTATATGATTCGACCTTTTTCTTCAAATTTCTCATTTGTCCAGTGGTCTTCAGATTCCTTAGTTGGATGCCTTCATTCTTCTGAAAAGACAAAAACAAAACCATCCCCATACCCTAATTTTGGTTTCCCTTTTGGCAAATTATATCTGATCAAATGATCAAATGTTAGTTTAGATTGAATGGTCACACTTACATGAAGTATCACCTTCTAATCAAAAAGTCTCTCTTATTTGAATTTGATCTTTAAAATATTTCCTTTATGGTTTCTCCTGAAATATTTGTTTTATCTTCTAAAGCTGTTCTATCATCCAGAGCTGTATGATTATGCTAGTAGGATCTTTTACCTTGTATTTCCTTCAAAATGGATCAAGTGTGAGATTATGTGACCACTTCAGGCATGTCTAAGGAATATTACTCAACTATGTAAGAAACTTTTCTAGCTCTCTTTCATCCTGAGCAAAATCTAGATTTGTGTCCAAAGGCACATGATGCCTGTGTTAGGGTTTCTGTTGCTGTGATGAAGACTGACCAGTAGTCACTGGGAGAAGAGAGGGTTTATTTCAGCTTACAATTTCAGGTAACAGTCCATCCATCACTGAGGGAGGTTAAGGCAGGAGCCTGCATCAAGAACTGGAGCAAAAGCCATAGAGGGACACGGTTTCCTGATTTGCTTTCCTTGGCTTGCTCAGCCTGCTTTCTTGAACCATCAAGGACTACCTTACTGTGGTGGCACCACCCATAATGGGCTGTGCTGCCTCAATCAATCACTGATTAAGAAAATATCCCTTGGCTACAGGACAGTCTTGGGTAGGCATTTTCTTAGCTGTGCTTCTCTCTTCTTACGTTACCATAGCCAGTGTCATGTTGACAGGAGAGCTAGCCAGTCCAATAGATCTTGGAATCAATGTTGTTATTGTTTCAATTAATTAAAAGTGTGATGTCATTCATTGGTCTTTATTTCAGGAAATGCTGTCCTTCTGGGACGTGGCCATTGAGTTCTCTGCAGAAGAGAGGGAATGCCTGGAGCCTGCTCAGTGGATTTTGTACAGGGATGTGATGTTGGAGAATTACAGCCACCTTGATTTCCTGGGTGAGGATCTCATCCATAGTGAATTCTTATTTCATTATCAACTTGTAGCTTCCTCTCTTGGCATGGTATCTCACTAGAATTTTTGCTTTTCAACAGTAAGTTTCATATTTTTCTTTTTTTTTTTTTTTTTTTTTTTTTTTTTTTTTTTTTTTTTTTGGTTTTTCAAGACAGGGTTTCTCTGTGTAGCTTTGCGCCTTTCCTGGAACTCACTTTGGAGACCAGGCTGGCCTCGAACTCACAGAGATCCGACTGGCTCTGCCTCCCGAGTGCTGGGATTAAAGGCGTGCGCCACCACCGCCCGGCCATATTTTTCATTTTAAGAAGAATTAGGGGGTTCGGAAAATGGCTCAGTGCTTAAGAGCACTGACTGCTCTTGCTTAGGACCCGGGTTCAATTCCCAGCACCCACATGGCAGCTCACAACTGTCCGACTCCATTTCCAGGGGATCCGACACACTCTCATATAGACATAAATGCCTGTAAAAACATCAATGCACATAACATAAAAATTTTTAAAAAATAAGAAAAATTAGGGAGGTTGCTGTATAGGTAAGAAACATTTCATTGTGTTTCTCTTTGTGTGTTTAACGTGTCTGTGTTAGAAACATGCATTCTTCACTCAAGTGGGACTGGGAGTAATTCTGTGTCATGACGTATTGAACACTCATGTTAATGAAAATGTTTTACAATTTGATTTTAATATTTTTCCCCTTAAATGAGACTTAGAATCTGGACATTGTACATTGCTTCATGTATGGTAGTGGTCCTGTGAGAAAACATTATGGAACTGATTGTCTGCAGTCATTTATTCCATCATCTTTCCTCATAAAGACTGTACTAGAAGGGACATGTCAATTCCCAGTAGAAGAACATGTCAACAATTTTATTCCCTTTTCCTCCAAACAGGTCTTGCTGTCTCCAAGCCACACCTGGTGACATTTCTGGAGCAAAGACAAGGACCTTGGGATGTGAAGAGACAAGTACCAACCCCTGTACACCCAGGTGTGTAGGAAAGAGGGGTCAGGGGATAGGTAAAGTCCAAAGATCCAACAGAGAGGCAGGCATTCCCACCTGTAGCTAGAGTTTTCCTGGTCCTGCCTGGCCCACTGTCAGGACAAATCTCTCTCACCCGCCAGTCCTGCAGCCACTCAGACCCAACCAAGTAAACTCAGAGACTTATATTGCCTACAAACTGTATGGCCGTGGCAGGCTTCTTGCTAACTGTTCTTATATCTTAAATCAACCCATTTCTATTAATCTATAAGTTGCCACGGTGGCTTGTAGCTTACTGGTATCTTAACATCTGCTTCTCATCATGTGGCTGGCAGCATCTCTCTGCCTCAGCCTTCCACTTCCCAGAATTCTCCTTTCTCTTTGTCCCACCTATACTTCCTGCCTGGCTACTGGCCAATCAGCATTTTATTTATACAGAGCGATATCCACAGCACCCACCTGTATTGAAACAAGATATTGTGGTGGTGATTATTCTTTAGGTCTCTTATTTGTTTTCAACAGAGGATATATCTCAGATGTCCATGATGGTTTTAGTCTCCTACGCTTTGTATTTCCCCAGTGGTGAGCTGTGCTTGTATTTACCATGACTTCCAAGGTTCTTCCTTTTGTTGAGGCTACATAGTAATGTAAGACTCAGGGAAATGCTGTTCTGTGCAGAAGAGTCAGTTATCTGCTGGGCTTCCGAGCAGACTCATGCCACAAGGATCTCTACACTGAAGCGAGCATGATTGAGTTTATAAAGCAAACCCACAGTTCCATCCCAGAGAGGCAGACAGGTGCAGACGGCTCAGCAGTTTCGGTTCTGTTGAATAGAAGAATTTGGGTGCGTGGGTGGGGAGCAGTTGGATACAACTCCGACAGATGGGAGTCCCTTTGGACAGTTCATTTGCCACTGTTCATAGGGAAGAGTCAGAGCATTAACTTACTGTATAAGGGATTGCATAAGGGCCATTCCATCCACTAACTTAGCAGAGACTGTTTTGTTTTTATCCATGAAGTTTTACAAGCAGTTGATTAAGCAGAGCCAGACCATTAAACCAAGGAAGAGAAGGAAGAGCGGGCCTGCTGGGCCTTAAGGAGTTCAGCCATGGATTCCCCAGTACACCGCTTGTGGGACGAGCAGTTGTGGGCCTCTCTTTTTTTTTTTTTTTTTTAATAAGATTTACTTATTTATTATGTATACAGTATTCTGCCTGCATGTGTCCCTGCAGGCCAGAAGAGGGCACCAGATCTCATTACAGATGGTTGTGAGCCACCATGTGGTTGCTGGGAATTGAACTCAGGACATCTGAAGAGCAGTCGGTGCTCTTAACCACTGAGCCATCTCTCCAGCCCCCGGCCTCTCTTTCATGGCAGTTAGTAGATTTAGGCTTTTTACTGAGTTATAAGGCTCAATTTTTTTTTTCTGTTTAGGTTAATTTTTTTTATCATATACGAAGACCAACTCTTATTTGTATATATACCCAGTCATTATTCATTAGAGAAATCAGAAAATTTTATTTCTAAACCTGATGTTCCCAGGACATCAGAGTTAGTAACATTTTTTTCCCCCCAGAGAACAGTCATACGTAGCTAGTGCTACTAGCCCTATAGGAAATATTATGGCTAATATTACCATGAGTCCAATGGGAGGAAGAGATCTCATGGTCCCTATATCTAAAAATCTCCTGTTGAGTTCTACAAACTTCTTCCGTGTGTACAGGTCCGTTGGCTTTGGGCTTTGTCATGGGAGCAGGACTGAGGAACTGGTCCTAGATGTCTCTGGACGGTGACTCAGAACTAGTGATCTGGGTGAACTGTCACAGCCCATCTCACCTCCCCCTCAGGCCATATTGCTTTCTTTACCTGATGTGGTGGGTCCACACATGGCACAAGCAGCTTAGTTTAAATGAGTGCCATAGTTCATCCTGCTGACTGGCCCTGTGACAGAGCCTCTGTCATATATTATCTACCACTTTGCTGAGGACTCCTTCCACAATCAGACATGGACAGCTCAGCTCTGGGGTTGGCTTTGTTAGGAGGAGGAATGAAACCTGGGGGCACAGGGCATGACCATTTGAACTGGCATGTAGTTCCCATAACAGTTGGGTGCCAGGTGTAGGTACAAGGTTCCCCTATACATAGGATACTCAACATCAGTTCATAAGACATTGAGTACAGAATGATTGCAAGGAATACCTCTATTGTTTGAGACATTTAGGATGTAGGTGCAGAATCTAAGATCCTCTACAGCATGAGAGAATCCTTAACCTGTCTTGTGGGACATGAAGAGTGATTCCTCTTCCCAACAGATAATGGATAAAGATTTCCTGGTCTGGCTTACAGGCCACAGGGAGACAGGGGCAGCAGATTCTGATAAGTCCTATTCCCCATGTATCCTTATCCTTTGATTAAGCTAGCATGACATTTACTCTCATAGTTCTGTGTCCCATTGAGGGTAAGTGTGCTATTTGATCCTGGCTGTATCCTGCCATGCAAGTGTAGTGTAGATTTAACCCTTTTTATTCAAGCATGTAATTTCAATAACCAATTATTTTAAGTACATATGCTTTTGAATATTATTCCATATTAAGGAAACTTTAAGTTGACCTTCAATTAGTTATCTGTTTTATGCTTAATTTTGGTAACATGTACAGAGGACTGTGTAATGGAAAGTATAAATTAGTCTCTCCCTTCAAGATTGTCACTGAAAATGAATCACATTTGTATTTATCGTGACTACAACCTCAGTTTGGGGCACAGTAAGGATATTTAAGCATGAGTAATGTGACATCATTAAGTTTTATGTCTTTTTAAAAATTATTTATTATTTCATGTATATGAGTGTCCTATCTTCATGCACACCAGAAGAGAGAATCAGATCCCATTACAAATGGTTCTGAGAACTTCACTGTCCACATCCCTTTAAGTTTTATGTTTACAACATCTAAATCAGTCCTACTGACCTTCTATATTAAGTAGCTTGTTTCATCAGAAATAATGCAATCAGAGGAGGGAATTGTAAGGCTGACTTTTTTTAAAATTATTCATTTTTTATTTTATTTGCATTGGCCATTTGCCTGCATGTATATCTGTGTGAGGGTGTCATATTTTGGAGTTACACATAGTTGTTAGCTTAACAAAGTTAGCAAAGACATAAGTGACTAGATAGACACAGCTTCAAGTCAGATTTTGTTAACATGTATAGACCTTCATAACCTTAGGAACTTTAACAACTTTAGACCATTAAGTATACTGTCTTTAAAAGCCTGTATAACATAGTCAGATCTGGCTTCAAGGTTTTAAGGTTTTTGCCCCTTATTTATTTAATTTATCTATCTTAAATAACTTAACCCTTTTATTAGAGATATAACCTCTAATATATATTTTTGTATCTTTTTAAAATGGTTTCACTGATCCAGAAAGTAGGTTTGAGTCTTAGACAAGACCATAAGGGGGAGCTCAGTGCCTCAGATGAGTGAGGTGAAGAAGAGACAGGGAGTTTTCCAGACTCACTAATACAACCTCAGATTAGAAGATTTTAAGCATTACTTCTTCGGTTAATATCCCCCCACTTAGGAGACCCAGGGAAGGAGTCCCTGTCAGGATTGTTCCACTAACCAGAATCTGGACCAGAGAAAACTACCTACACAAAGCTCTTCAGAGCACGACAAGAACTAGGTTGGTGTTGGTGTCCTGAAATACAGTGGTCATTGTACCAATACCCTGGTTTGATTGGGTTTGTAAAGCCAAACCCATAATTACCTCATACCAGAGGCTGTCCAGGGGCCTGAAATTTCAAAGGTGTCAGTTCCATTGATTCAGGTAATTTATGTTGTAAAACAGGACATCTCCCAAAGCTGCAGGTGAGGCTGCATGACTGTTTTCTTAGGAGGATTGTTTAGCTGGGTGAGCAATTGGATATAACGCTGGCAAAAATGGAGTCACTTTGGGCAGTTCAGTAACAGACTTTGCACTGTTTCTAGTCCTCAAAAAACTGCACACTTTTCTAAGAACCAAGTTATGAAATCATTGTAAGATATCAATTTTTATTCCCATCACTTATACTCATGTTAATGAAAGTCATTTCATTAGAGTCCTTTATGAGTGATGAAGATATTTTCTAAAGGTTCTTCCTAACACACACTCAGTAATAAGGATTTAAATCCATGCACTTTGAGGATGTATATTCAAAGATTAAAACTGTTCACAGCTAGGAAAATGTGTTTAATACCTTAATAAGCTTTCAGAATTTTGTAGATTCAAGATTTTTTTCTTTTACTTGGCAATTTGATATCTGGTATTATTATTTGGAAGTATGTGTTAACTAAAGTCATTTGTTATACATACACTATGTATTTTGGTGGATGGATGAAGCAGATTGATAAAAATACATAAGGAAAGTGTAAGATTAAAATATCTATGAGCTGTGCTACTCTGAGTTTCACTTTGTGGACAAACAGGAGTCTCCCATTGTCATGCTTTATTCATTGTCTCTCTCTACTCTGTGCTCAATAATTGTTTAATCTTGTAAATGAATGAATCTTAAAAATATGTCATTTTAACCTGGGTGTGGTAGCTCACTCCATTAATCCCAGCACTGGGGAGGCAGAGGCAGGCAGATCTCAGAGTCAAGTCCCACTGGACAGGACAACAAAGACTACACAGAGAAAACCTGTCTAAAAAAACAAAACAAAAAAAATTGGGTAATTTTGTCCTTTATTCATTGATAAATATGTTGCCTCAGCAAAATTTGTTATTCACAGGTGACCTGAAGGGTTGTTTTTTTTTAAATCATGATTTGATACGTTCAGGTATATAATTTCATGTCATCTGTTGTGGAATAATCTTTTTGTACACTATGAGAATGTGTCACTTGGACTGGTTTACTAAAAAGCTGAATGGTCATTAACTAGGCAAAATTTTCGGGGCAGAGAGGATGCTGGGAAAAAGAGAGGAGGTGCTAGGACACAGAGCCAGCAGCATGGACATTACAAAGTAAAGGTAACCAAGCCATGTAAAAGAAGCAGATGAAAAGAAATGGGTTAATTTAACTTATAAGAGCTAGTTAGAAACAAGCCTAAACTGTCGACAAACTTTCATAATTAATAATGAGTCTCTGTGTTATGATTTGGGAGCTGGCTGATGGGACAGAGAAAGATTCCCTACAGTCATCCAAATAAAAAATAAAATACTGTCCTGAATTTTTGAGCTATATTATTTAATCTTGTTCTGGACTATCTACTTTTTGTGCAGCATATCTTTTGTACCTTACAAAATAATACTCTATGTGTAGGATAAAACTCTTGTATTTTAATGACAACTCACAATCACACAATCACAATCCACTTTCTCTTTTTAGGATTGGCTACGTTATAATTTCATGGATGTCCAGCCATATAACATCTATATTAATGAGCTGATTTTTGTTAGTAAAGTGCCCTTACAAGTTACTTAGCTATTAACTTTAAATAATGTGCCATTATTTCTTTGTTCTATTTGGATGTGCTCTTATTCCAATAAAAGTATAGATTATTTCCTCCTACACTATTGTGTGAATTATGCTCAGTGTATATAGATATTTAAACATACTTTATTTTCTGATTTATGGTTAAATATGTATGAGTAAATCTCTCTATTTTAACAGTAAGCATTATAAATATGAAGACTATTGCTTAGCTTTTGATCATATCTCAACTTTTCCTCAACAGGAACAATATCAAATGATTGTAACCATTACAACAAGGCCATTGATTATAACTCACTCCTTATTCAACGCCAGAGAATCCATACAGGGGAGAAACCCTACAAGTGTGAAATATGTGGAAAGGCCCTTAGTTCTCAAAAAAACCTATCTATACACCAGAGACTTCATACTGGAGACAAACCCTATATGTGTAAAGAATGTCATAAGGCGTTTAGTACTCGCTCATCACTTTTTATACACCAGAAAATTCATACTGAAGAAAAAACGTACAAGTGTGAAGAATGTGGCAAATCATTTTACTATCCTTCAATGCTGAAGCAACATCAAAGAATTCATTCTGGAGAGAAGCCCTACAAGTGTGAAGGATGTGGCAAAGCTTTCTATGATCGTTCATTCCTGAAGCAACATCAAAGAGTTCATTGTGGAAAGAAACCCTACAAGTGTGAAGAATGTGGGAGAACATTTTCCTCTGCTTTAATTCTTAACAAGCATAAACGAATTCATTCTGGCGAGAAACCCTACAAGTGTGAACTGTGTGGAAAAGGATTTGCTAAGCCTTCTGTCCTTTCTGAGCACAAAATATGTCATACTGGAGAGAAACCCTACAAGTGTGAAGAGTGTGACAGATGTTTTTCCTCTTCTTTAACCCTTAGAAGACATCAAAGAATTCATTCTGAAGACAATCCCTACAAGTGTGGCGAATGTGGCAGAGCCTTCTACACGCTTTATGCCCTTACTCAGCACAAGTTTGTTCATTCTGGAGAGAAACCATACAAGTGTGAAGAGTGTGGCCGATGTTTTTCCTTTTATTCAGTCCTTAGAAGACATGAAATAATTCATTCTGAAGACAGCCCCTACAAGTGTGGAGAATGTGGCAAAGCCTTTACCAAACTTTGTATATTTACCCAGCACAAATTTGTTCATACTGGGGAGGCACCGTACAGGTGTGAAGAGTGTGGCAAAAGATTTTCTAGTCCTTCATATCTTAAGGTACATAAAACTATTCATTCTGAAGAGAATGCCTTCAAGTGTGAAGAATGTGGCAAAGCCTTTGTTAATCATTATACCCTTTCTCGACACAAGACAGTTCATACTGGAGAGAAATCCTACAAATGTAATAAAAAGTTTACACTTTTGTAGCCCTTCAAACACATCAAATAATTCATTTTGAATAGAAATTCCACAAGCATGTGGAATGTGGTAAATCCTTAGATGATTCAGACCTTATGCAGCACAAATGAATGCATTGAGTAGGGAAGCCATGCACATATGAAGATTTGAGTGCTTTAACATTCAGTCAACACTATTAACCATCAGTAACATTCATTCGGCAGTATAACAACCAAACATGAAGGGAGTGCCTAGCTTTTCATGTTTCTTTGTATCTTAAATAACACAACAATCTTCATCCTGAAAATCAAAGCTATAATGTGAAGGATGTGGTGAAGGTTTCAGTTATCATTCAGTCCTGGTTCAACCTCAGTAATTCTCACCTGAGAGAAACCCTACTCATGTGCAGAATAGGACCAAGGCTTAGCTGTTCCTCATGCCTGTATAAGTTTTAGAGAATTCATTGTGATGAAGAATCCAACAAAAGCAATCAATGTCCAAGTTCTCTAACTGTTTGTCACACTCCCAGTATCTGCAGATCCTTCATACTGCAGAGACACTCTACACACTCAAAGCGGTGCCTAAGCATTTAATAGTGATTCAAGTCTTCATCGGCAACAAAGTGTGACATAGATGAGGAACTGCAGGTGCAGATGTCTTTGTTAGCTAGCTGCAGATATCCACACCACACAACCCAACATTATTTGAAATCTGAAGGACTCTCAGTTAGCTATTTGCTTCTCTCTGATTAGTTTTATTATAAACTTGTGTTCGGGGTGCTTTCTTGATTTCTAAGTGATGTGAGAGAAGCCAGCCAGGATAACCAGCACCATCCTCTACAGGAATTCCTTGGGTGCATAAGAATTGTGAACATGAGTCAGATGGAGCAAGTCAGAAGGCACTATTCCCCCGTGGTTTCTGTATCACTTCCTGTCCTGGCTTCCCTGGATGAGGAACAATAATTCATAATTTGAAATAAACTGATTATTCCCCCATGTTGTTTGTAGTACAGCCGTGTGTTGTTTTTAGTCCAGTCCACATTTCTAGTACAGTCTAACAAATCAATCTAGGACAGCCGTGAATATGGGAACCTTTTCTCCCTTCATAACTCTGTTGTTACCACCTGACGGCATTCTCGAGACAACGTCACAAAGTCTGTAGATGTGCCCAGCCTCCACTCCAGACCTGAGCATCCACACTGCAGAGAAGTAAAGAATATAACAGGTTATTGTGTTTCCCCAAGTCAACACCAACATTTTCAGACTAGAGAGAAACCTGTGAAATCGAAGACAGTAGCTATGTGTGGAGCGATTGTTCTAAACACAAACATGAGACTTTTAGGCATGAAGGAAAACTAACACGCTCAGTTGATAAGAGGATTGATTTTTCTTCATACCTTAGTATCAGAGAGTTTGTTTGGTTTAGGAGTCATACAGGTATAAATAGTGTGACAAAGCCTTAAGAACAATCCTTACCCATGAGTAAATTCATATTGTAGTGAATCCTATATATAATGACTGGCAGAATCATTTTTCACTATTGACACCTCACACAGCAGCATATCAGCTATCATTTAAAGCACTATGTTCATGGAAATAGTATAGCAAATAGTATAGCAACATCTTTCCTCATGGCTTAGTAATGGATCTATTGAAGTGTAGTTAATGCATGCTATCAATGACCTAGGAAAGAAGGTATGTGTCCTACAGGTTGAGCAGGATGGTTGGAGCTTCCTAAGCACTTCAAGTCAACTGTGTTTCATCAGAGGCCTCTCATACTAAACTGGAGCTATATGACTAGGTGTTTGCCATCCAGGATGTTGGTCTTTGGTCTGATTCCATTTATGTCAACAGTATTTTTTTGAAAAGGCTGTCAATTCCAGTTCCTTGTTTTGACACTTTAGACAAAAATTACATGTCCATTGCATTAGTGTTTATCTCTTGTTCTTATGTTACATTGTGTTGGATTGTATGTTTGTATTTATGTGAGTCCCATGCCATCCTTTTCACTATGGCTCTGTAATGCAATTTGATATTAAGGAATATACATCTTTGGTTATTTCTGTTCTTTTGTGTTCTCACATTTTTTCCCATGTTCTATGATGGTTTCCATTAGAATTTTTATGTGGATTGTATTGATTATGTAAATAGTTTTATTAATGTAGACCTTTGTACAACATGAGTTCTAATCTAGGGATATGTTTTTCTCTTTGTAATCTGGTGTCTTCTTTAGGTAATGTTTTCAGTATTTTAAAATTTTGTTATATAAATCTTTTACCTCCTGGGTTAGGTTTATTTCTAGATATTTCTACTTTTTCTTTAGAGATTCTGAATGTGCTCTTTTTCCTGATTACTTTCTCAGGAAGTCTACTAATAGTGTATATCAAGTTTAATGGCTTTTATAAGTTGATTTTACAAACTATGGAAATATTTATCAAATTAAGTTTTAGGCAGTCTGTGGGTCCATCTAAGTACAGAATTATGATATTCGTAATTAGGAATGTTTAACTTCTTCCTTTCCAACTTTTATCCCTTTTCTATCTTTATTTTTTTCTTTCTTTCGTTAGGAATTGAGTACAGCCGGGTGTGGTGGTACATACCCTTATTTGCTATGTTCAGGAGGCAGAGGCAGGAAGGTCTCTGTTAGTTCCAGTCCATCCTGGTCTACATAGTGAGAATTAAAACATAATTTTAATGTTTAGTCCCCTTATAAATGATTAAATGACTCTCATTTTCCTTAAATTACATTTATAGTTATCCTAAATACAAATGAAATTTATTGACAGAGACAAGATTGGAAGGAGAGACCAATTTGTATCTCATTCTACAGTCTTCTGGTATTATTGAAGTATATCCCAAAACACATATGTCAAAATAAGTTTAAAGTACATAGTTTAATATGAAATAGTGTTCAAAATCATATATGTATCTAAAGAGAAATCTGGTTTGGAAAATAGAGTGCTGGAGGTAAAGGTGTTAAATGTACAGTACCCTTGCCTGGCAGGACGTCCCAGGCTCAAGAAGCACCATTTCCCTAGGGTGGGACACAGACGGTTTGAGACTAAATTGCGTACTGGCCACATTACAGGATAAGCATGCACAGGGAAAGAAGACTTTCAGAAAGTCTCCTGCTCCTGTCTCCCTCTATCATGTAGGCCAGATCAGAGAACCTCATTATCTCTGAGGAAGATGAATTACTCCTCATGTCTCACATGGTGGTCAGATGGAGTTACTTGCCCAGTAACAGAGTTTGTACCCACATATGAAATTTCTCAAGCCACAGAGGCAAATATCCATTACTCTGCCTTTAATGTCTCCCTTTGTGATATATGAGGATGCTGTCAATACAGGATCCTTGTATGTAACCTGCCAGGAGAGTGGTGTGGGACTTACACAATAGTTGAATTTGCCATGCCCTTACTCTGACTTTCAATTTTTCTCCTCCTATGTTGACTCAGGTCTTTTACTGTTTTGAGTAAAGAAACAATAAACATGGGTACAAATATCTCTGTAATAAGGTGTGAGTTTCCCTGATCATAAGCCCAGGACTGAAACAGTGGGGACAGTGCAGAGACTATAGCCCTGGTTCCAGTGGTGTGATGTCATAATGGGTGTGGGGTGCTGACTTGTGAGGTTTCAGTGGTCACTGCGGCACCCAGAGTCAATGCTGTGGTGGTCTCAGAGGCTACTTTGGGTCTGTGGCTCTAACCACAGCCTGTAGATAGTAGACTGCACTGCATCTGAAGTTTAGTACCTGCCTTCAGCAGACTCACATGGTTCAAGGAGTGACTAAGGATTTGACTCCTCAGCCCCATCTGCACTGACTTCTGAGGCCATGGGACTCAATTTTTGGTTGCAGGATGCTCTCCTATGAATGTGTGGGTAGGCACTCCTTCTTAATATTTGTGCCCTTTATAGCCTTGCTTCCACAGTAAACCTTAAGGCCTAATGCATTTACAGGCCAACTGCATATTCCAGGCTGGGAGAAATGACTGGATACAGGAGAGATTGTCCAATGACCTTGTCCATCTTTCTTTCCTGAAGACATATTAACATTGAATAAGGCCAGGTGTGATACTTTTGAGTGGACACAGCTGGAGTAATAAAGATGGCAGTTGTTTCACTATGAAGTTACTATGTAAGAGAAGGTTGAATGCAAATTACACATGCAGGGTAATGTAATAAGTTGGTATTATCTATGTGCATACTGTTAACCATCTTAACATGTAAGATTGCTGGTAATTGTATAGAAAACAGACAGCTTTTATGGTTTATACAGCATATAGAGTTATTTGTCAGAATTGTTATTAAATATGTTTACAGCATCTAACAGAATTTTGCTGAGAGGGCCCTGATAAACCTATGATGCTGGAATTGTTACTGAGAGATTTTAGACAGAGGGTCCCTCCTATCCTCATTATGTATCACCTGCTTTTATTACAAACGCCTTTATTCTAAGAGATGAACATTAGTAGTCTCCATTCCACATAGGTTCCTGTCAGGTGTTCTGAGGCACACAATGCCTTTTTCTTGGCTGTTTGTTGATCTCCTTTTTCTCTGTCTCAGGGTCAGGGGACTGACTCAGGTCAGGAGATTTAGACCTTAGAGACACACATGCTTGGGTGTGACATCGGGATGCCAAATCCTAGCTTCAGAGGCAAGCTTTCCAGTTTGATAAGACAGCGTATGTCCATAGGATAGTAATATTGCCCACACATGAGAGAGAATTGTTTCCTACAATGGAAAAGATGAAACATAACCAAGAGTGGCCAGGCTTGTTGGGGCAGAAACAAAGGTAGATCACAGGCATAAGGCAAAGGAATCTCAGGAACAGAGGGAATCTCCTATCTTAGCTACAGGAAGCAGGGTTTATCAGAAAGAAGCACAGATTTATCAGAAAGAGCAGGCATTAGAACCAAGGGTAGTTTCTCTAACTTGAGAAACTACACAGGTAACACACGCTCTAGTACAGAAAACAAGGGGCTCAATCCCCATGCCAACTGCAAGGTGGGGCCTCGCCTCTCTGGATGGTTAGGCTTTTTGATACCCAGAGGTCTCGGAAGAGTAAAAATGTGCAGAGGCAAAGGTCCAAGCTTGCCAACACTGCAGCTCCTGATCAGGAGGCTCCCACTACTACCTCAGGTAGTCCTTCTTGCCTCCACCACAGGAAATGACCACAAGAAAGCAGCCTACTTCCTGTCTGCTCATCTTGCACTTGATTCTGTTATCCAGAAGGCATAGATTGTTCACTTCATGAGATCTTGAATTACCCAGGAGAGAAACTTCTCCTGCTGTAGATTATTGAGGGCAGAAGACCCTCTCTTAACACGTGTTCCTTCATACTTTGGGAGTAGGCCCTTGACAGTAAACAGTGCTGAAGAGAAGCACTCATTGCTCCCTCAGTCATGAATTTGTTTGTGATTTGACCAACAGCAATTTCCACTCAAGGAAAACATCCCATCCTGGAGGGGGTCTCATTAACCTTATGAAGTAAGCATGTGATAGGTATGGGGAATTCCTGGACATTTCCAGGACTCACAGAACCCTCACTGCTCACAGCTGTATAAACAGTAAGGACTGTAGGGGAGGAGACTTCCTTATCAGTGGAGTTCCCTGCAAGTCACACACAGAGCTGAAGGCAGGCAACTTTCCTGAGTTCTTACCCAGAGTCCACTCAGATTTTTAGTACTGTTGATGTTATTGCTTTGAGTTGTGTGTGTTCCTATTCTAATCTCTTATTTGTGATCCTGTCTGCACTCCCAGTAACAGACCATGTGAAATCAGCTAGCTGTAAATGTCAGAGAGATTAACTCCAATATGAGAAATCCTGGCAATTTGTACTGACCGCACATTAATTTGCTCAGAGCCAAGAGCACATCCATGGAAGTCTCTGTCTTGCGGAAGTGCAATTACATTTGAAAGGTGAAGGCCCACTGTAAGGGCTCATGAACAAAACTACACTTCTAGGAAAGTTACTCAGTGTCAGCACCCAAAGAACGAGGAAACTGTGCTATGGGGCTGGATGCTGTCCCAAGATAGAAGCAGAACATGACAGCACTGTCCACATTGTATAGATTTGTAGACACTAAGGGCAACAGGTAGGTCAACATGGTACTTTGCAGCAGTATTAAGAGAAGTTTCACCATATAACTGGTCAGATGTTCAGTGTCCCTCCTAACAGTCCCTGTGGGGTCACAATTCATGGAACATGGAGGTGATAGCTAAGTGGAATTGGAACCGTACCATATACTCATGGTAGAAGTATAGGAAACTGGACTGTTTAGATAGTTTAAACTATCTGTGCTTCAGTCCTGAGTTTGATCCAGGACCAGTGACCCTTCACTAGGGAGGTAAGCATGAGCTCCTGGCACACAGGTGGTGAATATGGACCTGAGTTTGTGAAAAACCATGGAGACACTGGTAAAACTCTAGTAGAGCTCTCACAAAAACTAAATGGCTTACAGAGATTACTAGGTGAAAGTTTTCAAGGGAATGAAGGACAGGTGGAAAACTCCTGAGGTGGATTATGGGAGATCTTTGCAAGTAAGTGTCAGAGAGGTGGACATTTAACTTTGTTCATTGATTATACTGTCTCTGTGTTCCTCATCAATACACTGTAGAGAGTCCAATGTTCTCACAAAAATGTTTCACAAGCTGTGCAGTCAGATCCATGTATGGCTCACACAGAGTGTCGGTACAGAGGAATAGGAATATTGATTTATTCGTCGGACCTCATGTGAAGACAATGCCGACATTATATCTAGCTGCTTTAACCCGTCTTTGCTTGGACTTTTCCTTTTTACTTAGATACAAGGTCTCTTTAAATTTCCCAGTCCAGCCTTTCATTCTGGGTCCATTTGTCAAGTAACCGCTGAGCAGTTAGGAGCACGGTGTGACAAACCATGACTGGTTTGAAAACATCTTTAAAAGATAGTTCTCATTCCTACATTAGGATATTGCTTGGTTATTTTAAAGTAAAACTGAGTCAACGTGATTTTTAAACACTGTAGTAATATTAAAATCACAGTATATGGACAAGAAAACTTACAAGGCTAATATTTCTGTCAAAGGCTCGATTCACATTAATAATTTAGTGTTGTGGATCTGGAGGTGAACACCAGCCTCACTCCCTAGGGATCTCCTGCTGACTCAAATTCTCCCTCCAATACTCCACATTAGGTACCCAGCCACAAATCCAGGAACTCTAGAAATCTCCATACCTGGATTCTGGGAATTCGTTCGTACAGACTTCTGGGAAATGTAGTCTTTGGGACTGTGACATCACAGGAAGCCATCCAGGAAATCCCTGTCCGGCTTTTCGTCTACACACGTGAGTCTCCCTCAAAGTTTGGCAAAAGTCCTGTCCTAATGTGAATTCCAGTTGCCTCTCTGACATGGAGGTTGGTCCAGGGTGCAGCGCAGCCTGACGCACTGTGCGGGGTGCGGGGGTCCGACTTGGAGGGAGCGGACCTGGGCTGGGTGGGAGGGCGGAAGAAGCTGCCTTGGAGGTGCTGTGCTGAACTGACTGGGTCACGTGAGGTTGCAGGTCAGGGCTGGGGAGAGGGCGATAGGGACTGTGCACTGTGTGATGATTTTGGTGTCCTGCTTGGTCTTCTGGGACAGGAGAGCTGCCTGGTAGCGCGGGGTAGATGATAGTGCAAAGTCCGGGATTGCAAACTCATGATGCTCAGCTGACTGCCTGCTCCTGAGGTGGAGCTGGGAGCTCAGTGAGCAGCTTTGGTGGGGAAGCATGCTTCTCTAGATGAACCGTTCTCACATGGATGCTGTCAGATTTCTCAGTATTTGTAGAGCAAACAGGGTTTCGGGTCCTTCCTGTACTCTGCAGCCGGCCTAGTGTAACGGTCTTGAGGTCTTGATTGTGTTCATTTTGTAGCCAGCTAAAGAATTAAGAGAGGAAAAACCTAAGGCCCAATGGTTCACCTGTGGGATATTCTGGAACACAGCAGACAGATTTGTCAGAATCAGGTGCTATAGAAAAGCTTTGACTAGGGGTGAGAGAACACACATACGGCCCGTTCAGAGAGAGAGGCATCTTCTGCAGGAAGATAGGGAACTGTAGAAAGTGATGCCCAGCCTCACCTTGAGGACTGGGTTTTCTTAACTTTGAAAGGTCTTCCCTTATGTGGGGTGGACGACAGTGGTTGTGTCAACATGTCTTTACCTGGCCTTGGGCTTGTTGATCTTGGGCAGGGTCTCTAGGAACAGATGAAAAACTCTCATGGCCTTGGGTTCCAGTGCCAGGCTTTTGTGTCAAATCAGAAGGGTGAGGAAGAACTCACAGACTGTGTGATTTATATTCATGTGATTTACAGTAAACAGACCTGTGATAGGAAAGAAACTCCAGTCTACTGTATTGCACATCCCTGTCATCTCTGCATTTGTGAAGGGGAGGCAGGACCTCTGGTCCTCCTCTGCTTCATAGCAAATTCAAGGCCAGAGTCTGTGTTAGAAAACATTTAAACATACTTCATGGTCATGAGAAATACTTTGTGTTCCAGTTTCTTACAGTGCGCAGCTTAACAAATCCATGCAAGCAGCATGTTACTGCCTTGAGAACTACTTGTGGTTAACTTCTCTGGATACATTCCAGGTGTAATTTAAACTTTTGTCATAACATGTTTTTGTGAAAGACACTTTATTTTGGAGATTACACAATTGTTTGCATTTACTATGTGAGGAACAATTCTCAATACTTAAATATTTCTATTTGCACTGATTGTTCATTCTTTTTGGATATTAATCTGTTAAATTCTTGTTCTTTTTTAAATGGTTGCTGCCTTTTAAGCCACAGCTGTCTGAATCAGCAACTGCAACTCCACCACTACCAGCATTGGTTAGGCCCCAAGGGCCGTAGCCCAAGGGAAACCTGTTCCCTTGAACTCCAACTCTTGCAAAGCTACAAAGGGAACTTAACTAAACCTCTCTCCTTCTAAAGAACTCAAGATTCAAAGGTTAAGGTGGAATTCTGCTCTTCAGAGAGACTGAATAGCAAGTAACCCACCTCCTCTCCTTGCTCACTTCCTCCCAAAGCCCTCTTATTTCCCCTCGCCTCTCCTTATAAACAAACCCTTCTCCACCTGGCTCCTCCCTACCACTTCCTGTCAGCTAATTGCTGCATCAGCCTACTGACCGCAGGCGGAATTTTATTTAATCAAACATCTTTGCATCATTAAACAAATGTTCCAGAGCATCATCAAAATTAACACACCTTGAAATAATATTCTACAACATTAGATTCTGTCATGACCTGATGCGTCTTTCTTCTGGTTTCACTGATTTCTTCCAGTTTGCTCCTTTCATATCTAATCTGAGACTCCATTATTTCTTCATTTCCATTCTGCAGTTCTTGACTGATGTGGCTGCTGTGGTTACATTCCTGGGTCTTTTTCTGCAGTTGCAGCTGGGATGCCTTCCCCTGTCCTTACACCAGAGGTTCTACTGTGTGCAGATGCTTCTTACAGTGAGCCAGAACAAAACCACTTCCTCACTGTCCTTTACACGGGCACTGCCATGTCCAACCAGTAAAGCCAAGTGCTAATGCTGGTTCCTGCTCTTCACAGGTCCAGTCCAGGTCCCCTTGTTGAGCAGTCCTGTCTCTTTCCTCCCAGGCTTCTTTCATTGTATTCAGTGTGAGGGAGGGAGTTCCTTGTGTTTACAACTCATGCATGAACCTTGCTGTGTTAGACATGTCATATCTGGAAAACTCAGGAAGGGATGTGTGCTGGGTGGTGACACCCAGTTCCTGCTGATTGATCTAATGGACTATGTCAGAGGCTATGAACAGACATTGCAAAAAATTTGAACAGGGTCAAACACATGCAAGGAATAAACCTGAGCAGCACAGATTTTCATTATATTGTCATTTTTGGTTATATTGGTGCATGTCATAGTGCCCCCCATTGTCATTATCACATGCAGTAACATATCAATTACATATTTTGAGTTCAAAGGTGTGTTTGCCCTGCCTAGTCTCTTAAAAACTGCATTCCATTGTTCTCTTGTCTGCAGTCTCTGTTTTAATAGAATTCAGACCTGTGTCAGTGCGTGTGCCAACCCTTAACTGGAGACACTCCACTTGCTGTTGCTTTAAGAAACTCAGAAATGATATATGGACTATTAAAATTCACAAGTACATCTAGACATCTAATGGACACAGCAAGTGATATTTACTTTGAAACTAAATTCTCAGTATATAATCCATGTTTCACAAAAGGGACATTACATTTGGTCTCCCATGCTTTTTTCATGGATCCAATTCCATTCTCTGAGTCATAGTATTTCTAAGTGTAGTAGTTTAAAGCAAAAAATAAAATAAAATAAAACAATGATTGTTGCATGCCACATTTGTTGGATAAAGAGCTGGAACAGAGATCTAGAAGTTGCTACTTGATGATGTGTGTAGTGTGTATTTTAAGCAGTTATGTAATCAGTAGATAGGCTGTTTTGAATGTTTTGAATATGTCACTATAGTTAGGACCCTGATTGGGAATCCAGTTCTCTCTTTGCATCTGGCTTGGACTTCCCACCAATCTTCTGCTAGTCTTTAGTTTTATCTGACTATCTGAAAAGATATTTCTGAGGGACACTGACAGGAGATGCAAGAGTTCTTATCACATCTACTCTGTCCATTCTGTTGACTCTAGGACCAGCCTCTGTTCAAGTAGAGTGCAGATTTCCACCTCCCAATTATAGTGAGAATATGTAGCAATTTTTATTGAATGACGGGTTACCCAACTCAGACCAGACATTATTTGCATTTCTTCTCTATAGAAAGTAAATTTTGCTAGTTTCAAATTACCCTGAAATATTTGCCATGAAAAGTATTAGGTAAAATTCCACCTAAATACTATCTTGTTTACAGTTGCACTCCTCCACTGTGGGGCATTTACCCACCACCCCCACAGTTCCCCAGAGTTTTCTTGAGTGCGAGCAGCAGGAAATATTAGATAGAAGGATTTATTGCGGAGAATCTTGCGGAGATAAACAGATAGAAAATAAAGGATAGCCTTGAGAGGGCCTGGAACCTTTTCCAACTGGCCCCGACTGTCTCTGCCCCAAGGTTTTTATAGAGACGCCAAGGGGTGGAGCAAAAGACCTCCTCCCCCAGCACAGCCAAGTGCAGACCATCCTAGACACCTGCACTCAGGCCCGTGGTCCTAATCATCCTCTATGCGGACCTGCTGGGTAAAGCCAAGAGGAACCTGAGACTGGACTCCCACACTCCACCCACAGCATGTCACAGGAGGCTGGCCCCAGGACAGGAGACACATCCCCAGGTAGAACAGTGTCCCCTTGAGCTGGGCTCCTTTAGGGAGTGATCATTGCAGTGAGTTCTCCTTTGGGGACCTGCTCTAGTTCTCTCAGAACAGTGTTTTCCATCTTCACTCTTCTGCACTCTTGCCAAACCCCATGGTGACTAATTTTCCCTGTTCTAGGCAATGTCATCCTTAAAAAAGAGGGGAACTTCTGTGTTTTGTTTTGTTTTGTTTTTTTCATTTGTAGATTTTGCAACATGCTGTATGAGCTATAAAGATGCTTTCGACACATGTCAGTTGATTTTCCCTTGAGAAATCAAAGAGTGTTCTGTTCACCAAACTTCTCCAGTCTGCTTTGATTTGAAGATGTATTGACCTCCTTGTTGCTGCTTCCCTTTGCCCTTTATTAAAGGACATTTTCATTTTAATCATTGTTACAGAGTAGACCTTTTCACTGCTCCAAAAGTGTTGAGACCATGCCCACCTCCTCTAAGCACTGAAAACACAATGCATTTCAGAAACAATCCCCTCAGTCTGACTGGGAGCCTCTGACTCATGGATGAGTTTTCATAGTACTAGAAGATGCTTTGCAAGCTTCCAAGGGAGAGAAGTGATAACCCAACAATAGGACTAGCTGAACAGCACCTGAGCAATGACAACATCAATATACATGGTACCCTGTAGATGGCAATCCATGTGGTTCTACCACTAAAGAAGTACATACAACGACCCAGCTGTGGTGGCACATCCCTTTAGTCCAAGCATTCAGGAAGAGGTAGGATTTCTGAGTTCAAGGACAACCTGGTCTACAGAGTGAGTTCCAGGACAGCCAGAGCTACACAAAGAAACCCTTTCTGGAAAACCAAAACAATAACAACAACAACAAAAAAAAAAACTATGTGTGTCTTGGGTTTCTCTTGCTGTGATGAAACATCATGACCTAAAAGCAAGTTGGGGAAAGGTTTATTTGGTTTATGCTGTGGATATCACTCTGTATGAATAAAATGCTGATTGGCCAGTAGCCATGCAGGAAGTATAGGCGGTACAAATAGAGAAGAGAATTCTGGGAAGTGGAAGGCTGAGGCAGAGAGATGCTGCCAGCCGCCATGATGAGAAGCAACAAGTTAAGGTACCGGTAAGCCACGAGCCACGTGGCAACTTATAGACTAATAGATATGGGTTAATTTAAAATATAAGAACTAGATAACAAGAAGCCTGCTGTGGCCATACAGTTTGTAACCAATATAAGTCTCTGTGTCTTTACTTAGTTGGGTCTGAGCGGCTGTGGGACTGGCCAGTAAGAGAGATTTGTCCTGACCGTGGGCCAGGCAGGAAAACTCTAGCTACAGGTTTACATTTCAACATTGCTGTTCATCACTGAAGGAAGTCAGGATAGGAACTCAAACAGGGCAGGATCCCAGAGGCAGGAGCTGATGCAGAGGCCATGGAGGGAAGCTGCTTACTGGCTTGCTTCCCATTGCTTGTTCTGCCTGCTTTCTTATAGAACCCAGGACCACCAGCCTAGCGATAGCACCACTCACCATGAGCTGGGCCCTCCCCCATTGATCACCAATTGAGAAAATGCTTTACAGCTAGATCTCATGGAGGCATTTCCTCAATGGAGTCTCCTTTCTCTTTGATGACTCCAGCTTGTGACAAGTTGACACAAAACCAGCCAGTACAATATGTACATAAAGATTTTTGAGAGCGGGAGAATTATTTTTCCCTAAGGATGAACCCACTCACTATCCATCCAGTTCCAAGAGGTCAGTCTTCACAACATACATACAGGCAACCCTTAGGAGAATCAGCCATTCATATTTATATGGTTATATGTATGTATATACATTCTTTGTAACAATAATAATTAAAGAAGATGTCAGACATTTGAGATGGAGTGTTGTGGGACAGGAGACAAGTTGGAATGAGGACTTTTTCAGAAAAAAAAGTCTTTTTAGTTGTGATAATGTGGGTGAAACTGAAATTAGTTCAGGCAGAGAAAGATAAGTTCACATGATCTCATTAGAATAATAAAAAAAGAATTGTAACTCACAGAAGTTGGAGATGGTATGGTTTTTTTCCATCAGCCAGAGACATCAGGAAGCTGAGTCTTGGGGACTTAAGGAACAATAGATGTCCTGGAACAGTGTGATAAGAGGGTGATCAATGCTCACAGTATTGTCCCTGAATGCTGGATGTGTGTAAGCGTTATGTAGGGTACATTTCAGATGCCTGATTTATAGTGTTTCAGGAGGTGAGCATACCATAACTGAGAAGGATGATCGAAATTACTACAAAATACCCCATTAATACTTAAATTGCTGATAATTTCATTGTATTATTAAAAGGGAAGAATAATGTAGCACTGTTTTCACAAGTCATTCTTGGACTTTACTCAATAAGATGAAAAACAGCTGTGTGGCAGTGGCACACACCTTTAATCCCAGCACTTGGGAGGCAGTGTCAGATAGATCTCTGTAAGTTTGAGGCCAGCCTGGTCTTCAAACCAAGTTCCAGGACAGTCAAGGCTGTTACACGGAGAAACCCTGTCTCAAAACAAACAAACAAACAAATAAACAAACAAACAAACAAAAAAGATGAAAAACAGAAAGAAAATTTTGAAATAGGAAAATAGTGGCATCAGCAAATATATTTCTCAGCTTCAGCACACTGATGCACAGGTGTCATGTGTGGAAAGCATGCTTAGGAATATCACAAACACATCAGTCGATAGATACCTGTCAGAGAAAAGGAGGTAGAAAGTAGAAAATGACTGAAGATCAGAGTTCTGTTTTAAGTTCTCAGTGTTGATAGCCTATACTTGCTGATTTTTCATGTGTTCACAGTTTGTATTTTTCTGTGAGTTCTTCTTTTGTTGTTCTAACCTTTTTCTGCTCCATCTCATGTCTCTTGTCACTGTCATTGGAGTCACTGCTGAACTCTGTACAAATTCAGAAACTCAGACTTCAGCCAGGGCTGCTGCTGCATCAGAATCTGTATTTTCATTTCATTTCTATGTGTAATTGGGCATATTAAGTGTTGAGGTTTCCTTCTCCCTCATCACGACTTTCTTCTGTGAAACATGTGTATGTGTGTGTACATGCGTATATAGTGTATAATACAAGTGTATCACACTATTACACATTATTCTGCTTTCCTACACCATATAAGATCACCTTACCAGGGTGGGCACCACCAATAATGGGCTGTGCTGTTTTATATTAATCACTAATCAAGAAAATGCCATCGGCTTCCCTACAGGACAGTCTCATGTAGGCATCTTCTCAATTATGCTACTCTCTTCTCAAATGACCCTGGCTAGTGTCAGATTGACAGGACAACTATCCAGCGCAATGCATCTTTGTCTTTATATTATTATTATTAGTGATTTTCATTAATTAAAAGTGGGATATCTTTGATTAATCTTTACTTCAGGAAATGCTGTCCTTCTCGGATGTGGCCATTGAGTTCTCTGCAGAAGAGAGGGAATGCCTGGAGCCTGCTCAGTGGAATTTGTACAAGGATGTGATGTTGGAGAATTACAGCAACCTTGATTTCCTGGGTGAGGATCTCATCCACAGTGAATTCTTATTTCACCATCAATATGTAGGTTCCTCATTTTGTATGGTATCTCATGGGAGCATTTCAACATCCATTTTCATATCTGTCATTTTAAGAAAAAATTAGAGAGGTGCTCCATAGCTAAGAAACATTCCACTGTTTTTCTCTGTCTGTGTTGTACTGTCAATGCTGAATATACATTTCATTCAATAGTACCTTTAGTAGAACTGTTTGTTAGAAATCAATGGCATGAGCCATGGAGCACACTTGTTGATTAAATTGTTTCACAATTCAGTTTCTGTTGGATTGTTCTGTGTTTTGTGGGTTTGTCGAAAAAAGAGGTCAATCCAAGATGTAATTTTAAGGCCTGTATGACAGCAGGAAGGTCCAGCCTCTGAAGAACTAAACTCTGAACAGGTGCCATACAAAGGCATATTTAATGATAGTTACACAAAGTTGTTTTTGAGCTAAAGTATTTCCTCATACCAAGGTCCCTAATATACTCTTAGTGTCTCTCCAAGGAAAGCATCACATGCCCCCATGAATTAGTCCTTTATTGTTTGCAGTACACAATAATCAAAGAGCCTCAGGTGTGCCAGAGGCATCTTGTGACCAAAGTCATGGGAAGACTGCAACACCCTTTCAGAAAAACAATGCTACAAATCTCAGAAAACAATCACTGTTTTCCACAAAGATTCATTACTGTTTTCCACAGTGATTCTTCAAGTTCAAAATACTTCTGGAAAACAAATATTCACTCTAAAGTTTATGCTTGATGCAGTGGAGAGTATTCATTCTAATATTTACCCTAGATACAGTGAAAACTATTCATCCTAATGTCTCTCCCAAATACAGTGACTTTGCTTAATTCCTACAGATTTTAATGTTTTCCCCTTTAATGTTTAAATGAAACTCAGAATCTGGACATTGTAAATTCCTTTATGTATTGTAATGGTCCCATGAGAAAACATTTAAGGAACTGATTGTCTGCAGTCAATTATTTCATCATCTTTCCTTATAAACAGTGTACTGAGAGGGACATGTCAATTCCCAGTAGAAGAATACTTCAACAATCTTGTTCCCTTTTCCTACAAACAGGTCTTGCTGTCTCTAAGCCACACCTGGTGACATTTCTGGAGCAAACACAAGGGCCTGGGGATCTGAAGAGACAAGCAACAGACAGTGTGCACCCAGGTGGGTAGGAATGAGGGGTTCAGGGGCAGAAAGGCAGGCTTTCCCATGTGCATTGAAAGAAGATGTTGTTATGGAGATAAGTCTCTCTTTCATGTCTTTGTTATCAAAGAAAGACATCTTGTGTTACATATATATCCACCTTTTTATTCATTTTCTTTGTCAGTTCAGTGGAAACTGAGGTTCTATGCCTTGACCTTGTTGTCCCCACCTCAGACAACATCCAGCATAATGAACTGTGCCTGTCTTAGGTTGGTCTGCCATACAGATCCTGTCTTTGACTACCAGCCCTCGAAGGATTGCTACCCTGGGAGGCGTGCCAGGGTAGAGGGAGCAATAGTCATGTAGCAGCCTTCTGTATTTCCCTAAGCCAAGCCTGTATAACCTCATGGTGAGGCCCACACTCAGGAGACTCTAGAGCCATGAGCACCTGGAGGGTGGTCTTGTTGATGGACTCTTGTCATGACAGACACTTGATGATTATTAACAGGAAGCCAAACAGTCACAGAGAATGTATTAGAACCAGGTGACTGGTGCTTAGTTGGGGACTTCCATGGTTAATTAGGCCATGGCCGTATGCCCACATAGTGTCTCTGGACAGGGAGTGGTAGTCAGGAGCTGTTCCTGGGTTCTACCTCCTGGGGGCGTCAGCCCTTTTGTGGAGGCACTGGGAAACCCAAAACTGAAAGATGTACCTGGACAAACAGACAAACAAGGAAAGGGAAAGGGAGAGGAGGTCCCAGCGCTCATCTCTGAAGGGACCAAAAACACAGAACACTGAGGGGCCAACTCACCTACCAATCACTGAGCAGGGGGTGCCAAATTATGCCGTGGAAGAAAGGGGATGTCCAGAGGAACAGTGACACCCACACGGGCACCAGCCCCTCATTGGGAACCATATGTTGCAGGTTGCTCTGTCTGGACACCCTTGGGGGAGGTGGTGAGAAGGCATGGTGTCAACAACACAGGCACCAGGAGCCAGGTGAGAAGCAAGTAATGGACTTGTTTATTGTAGATATGGGGCAAACCTATATACCCACTCCCAATTTTAAATCGGCAGCTGGAGACTCTCTTAGCTGTGTTGTCCCTTTCTCATTGACCCCCAGCATCCTGATGGTCATGTGTCACCAATCACCAGGTGCAGGGTCAAACTTCAAGTTGTGTCAGCAGGAAGTAGCTAGCAGGCATTCCTATGTGCACTACCTGGAACAGGGCAGCTGTGGTTTTATCAGGCTACCAGGATACACTCCTCCTATAATCTCTAAAGGCCTGTATAATATAGTCAGATCTCCCATCACTTGGCTTCAAGGTTTTAAGGTTTTGCCCCATCTTATTTATTTATCTATCTTAAATAACTTAATCCTTTTATTAGAGAAATATCCTCTAATATATATCTTTTGCATCTTTTAAAAATGGTTTCATTGATACATACAGGGAAAACTTACATTCAGCAAGAGGTTTAGAGATGTCAAAAGTCTAGGATGAGAGAACAACTTTTATAAACAACAAGAGCAGGATATAGTGTAGAGTTCAATCTGAACTTGACTGAAGAATCAATTGAGACATCTCATTTCCTTTGGACCAGGCATGAAAACCTTTACAGATATCTCAAGTAAATTTACCATTTGTTGTAAGAAAATTTCCTAAAGGGGAGAGGTTTTAGATAACATCTACTTTTATGGGGTCTGTACCCACCACACACAACACACTCTGTAGACCAATCTGGCCTTGAACTAAGAGAGCCACCTGACTCTGCCTCCTAAAGGGGTAAAAGATAGTTCATTGGTTAAGAGAATTGGATTTTCTTCCTAAGGAGCCAGATCCAATTCCCAGAACCCACATGGTCATGTAACACATAATTGTAATTCCAGTTCCAGCAGATCTGACATTCTCACACATACCTACATACAGGCAAGGCAACACATCACTATATACAACAGCTTTCTCATAATGCAGAGGTGGACTTCCCCACCCATTATTAGTTTTTCTGGCCTGTATACCCTAGAGTTTAATCATGTAATTAAAGCTTCATTCCATGCAACTATCTGGGCTGAATGACTGGATACTCAGGTGAAGCTTCAAGGACTTTGCCTATATCTTCCTTTTTAAAGGAGTATCAACATTTTACAAGCCCGACTCTGATTATTTTTAGTAAACACGGCTAGAGATATCAAGATGGAAGATGTTCAGCTAAGAAGATAATTGTGCAACATTAATTTAATAAAAGAAGGTTGAATCCCAGTGACACAGTGAGGATACTGTGGTGAATTAATATTACCCATGTACATACTGTTAAACCATTGTGCTTTGAATGTTTCAAGGTCAACCTTGTAGAAAACATAAGACAGTTATTACATGAGTCCTAATGGGTCTTATAATAAAAAGCTGGAGCCAGATATTGGGGTAAATGCTTGAAGATCAGAGGAAACGGAGGAACAGGCTACTAGAGAAACTTCTCATGACTACCTAATCCTCAAGCCAAAATAGAGGCAAGATCCTGCCTCCATGAATCCTCAGACGCTTCTGAGTCCTCAGCCGAAAGGGCTTTGAAGTCCTGTCTCCCCCTGTCTTGTATTCCTTTCTCTGCCCAGCCATATCACGACCTGTCTCAACCTCCCTAGTGCTGGGATTAAAGGCGTGTGACTCCTAAATACTGGGATTAAAGGTGTGTGCCACCACCACTTGGCTCTGTTTCTCCTTTAACCCGGATTAATGTCATGTTGTCCAATGTGGCTTTGAACTCACAGCAATCCAGATGGATCTCTGCCTCCTGAGTGCTAGGATTAAAGGTGTGTGCCACCAAGGCCTGGCCTCTGTGTTTAATCTAGTGGCTTGCTCTGTCCTCTGATCTTCAGGCAAATTTTATTTGTTAGAGTACAAACAAAATATCACCCACAGGATTTGTCTATATAGTTCTGACTGTCCTTAAACTTGCTCTGTAGACCAAGCTGGCCTCAAACTAACAGAGATCCACCTGCTTCTGCCTCCCAAGTGCTGGGATTAAAGGTGTGTGCCTCCATTACAGACCAGTATTGAGAGATTTTAGACAGTGTCCCTTTTATCCATTACATGGATCAGCATCCCATTGATTGTTTTTATTCTACACATCTTTCTTCCATGAAGTAATTAATAGTAGCCTCATTGGAAACAGTTCTATTCTCAAATGCAAGGTGTCTTTTCTGGAGCTGTCCTGATGTTCTTCTGCCTGTCACAGAGTCAGAGAGCCAGCCTGACCCAGGACAGGGTATTGGAAGAAACTTTGAGACAAATTGGCTTCAATTTGAAGTGGGTGGGGCAAATCCTATCTCCAGAGCCAGGTTTTCATTGAGCTAAAACAGCATATGACTACTTTTAAAAACTATTATCTACCTTTAAAAGGCATTTGTTTCTCTATAAGACTGAACCCAGTCATTTGCATATCAATAATTCACTTGTGTGTCTACATATGGTGGCAAACAACCTTAAAAGTTTAATGTATATTTCCCTTCTCATAAAGATATCAATGTTTAGGATGATATAACGATTCTATGAGATTGAGACATATTGATTTCATTGTGTGTCATACTTCTAAATTGTAAATACCTAAGTACCTGTTACATAGAGACAATTAAACAAAAACTATAAAAACTAGACATCAAAGGAACTGAGAAAGTGTTGGTGGAGCATAAGCAAAGATCAACCACAGCCTTAGTCTGAATGGGTCCCCGAATCATAAAGAATATTCTGTCTCAGAAGCAGCAGACTCAGAGTAACAGTAGAAAGGAGCCAACATAACTCCCATCTCCACTCACCCACACAAGCAGTACAGCTAACTAATGGAAAAACTGACTGCAATTCCTTGGCCACTTTGAGATGGATTCCTAGATCCACAGGCTGGCTAAGCATTTGGATGATGCCTTAGTTAGGGTTTCTGTTGCTGTGAAGAAACACCATGACCACTGCAACTCTTATAAAGGAAAAATATTTAATTGGAGTAGTTTACATTTTCAGAGGCTTGGTCCATTGTCATCATGGTAGAACATGGTGGCAATCAGGCAGACATGTTTTTCGAGCAGGAGCTGAGAGTTCTACATCTTCTATAGGTAACAGGTAGTGGTCTGCCTCTCTAGGCGAGGCTTGAGTATATATGAGACCTCAAAGCACGCCTCCACAATGACACACTTCCGCCAACAAGACGACACCTTCTCCAACAAGCCCACACCTCCTCCAACAAGCCCACACCTCCTAATAGTGTCACTCCCTCTGGGGGCCATTTTCTTTCAAACCACCACAATGCCTCAGGGCCTCCCCACTTACCACATTATAGCCCCTGGTTCTGTGACTCCAATAGTCAGCTTGTGTTCTGCAGCACAGGTGGCCACACCTCTATTGGGACCTTGTTGTGCATGTATGGGTTGGTGAGATTATGTGGCCCCATTACCACCAGTCTTAGGAGTCCCTTGGGGAACTTTTGCTGGGAATAGAGTACATTTGGGTCTTAGACAAGACCATAAGGGGTAGCTCAGTGCCTCAGATGAGTGAGGTGAAGAAAAGACAGGGAATTTCCCAGACTCACTAATACAACTTCAGATTAGAAGTTTTTAAGGATTACTTTGGTTAATATCCCCCCACTTAGGAGACCCAAGGAAGGAGTCCCTGTCAGGATTGTTCCACTTACCAGAATGTGGACCAGAGAAAACTACCTACACACAGCTCTTCAGAGCACCAGAAGAACTAGGTTGGTGTTGGTGTCCTGAAATACAGTGGTCATTTCTGGACTCACTGGCCCTGGTTTGACTGGGTTTGTAAAGCCAAACCCATAATTACCTCATACCAGAGGCTGTCCAGGGGCCTGAAATTTCAAAAGTGTCAGTTCCATTGATTCAGGTAATTTATGTTGTAAAACAGGAGATCTCCCAAAGCTGTGATTGAGGCTGCATGACTGTGTTTTGTAGTTGGAAGTTTTCCTGCATTATGCCTGGTCTGCCGCGGTCAGGACAAATCTCTCTACCCATTGGTCTGGTAGCCATTCTGACCCAAGTAAACACACAGAGGCTTATATTATTTACAAATGATATGGTCCAGTGGGTCAGGCTTCTCACTAACTAGTTCTTACATCTTAAATTAGTCCATTTCTATAAATATATACTTTGCCACGTGGCTCATGGCTTACTGGTACCTTACTTCTTGCTCCTCATGGTGGCAGCTGACAGTGTCTCCTCTGTTCTGCCTTTTTCCTTCTCTTTCTAGTTGGAATGTCCCACCTAACCTTATTCTGCCTCATCATTGGTCAAACAGCTTTATTTATCAACCAATCAGAGCAACACATTCACAGCATACAGAACAATAACACCCATTATTTCGCCTTTTCTTTCTATTCAAAAGGAAGGTTTTAACTTCAACATAGTGAAATTACATATAACAAAACAGTTATCAAACAAGAATTATAGCTATAATATCTGGTCTATTTGTATTTGGCAAAATTAAAGAAAATATCCTATGTATCCTATATTTGTGAGTCAAGGTTTCATAGCTACCTTATTTCTTATCATAACCAAGGAAAACTATAACTATCTAGCCTTCAACTACCTCAAAGAACTCAGAAGGATATAATGTTATTTAAGTAAACAGGAAATGCATTGTAAGCAACTTCCAAAAATCTAGAATGACAGAGACAGCTGGCTACCTGAACAGTTATCCCAAGTTTCTCTGTAACATTGGGGCGTCCTTCTTCAGCCCATAGGCCTAGTCTCTCAGTCGTTTTTTTTTTTTTTTTTTTGCTCTGTATTCTGTAGACTGTCTCACAGTTTCCTCTGCAAAGCAGGAACCTGAATGACCGACCATCTTGCTTTGTAAAGTTCCATGGTCACCTTCCTATGGGTTCTTCATGTCCAGTCATTATAACATTTAGTCAAGCAGTCCAGGCAGGAACAGTTTCTTGCCCAAATGGCTATTTTTGCCAAGAAGAAGATAAATTCCATATGGAGTGTCTTCGATGCCCATCTTTCTCTTTGAAATGAATTGCTGCTTTGCCATGTCCTGTCTAACCATATTCTGCCTCACCATTGGCCAAGCAGCTTTATTTATTAGCCAATCAGAACAACACACATTCGCAGCATACAGAACGATATCACCCATCAGTATTTTCTTAGGAGGATTGTTTAGCTGGGGGAACAGTTGAATAAAATTCAGGCAAAAATGGAGTCACTTTGGGCAGTTCAGTAACAGACTTTGCACTGTTTCTAGTCCTCAAAAAATTGCACACTTTTCAAAAGACCAAGTTCTGAAAACAATGTAAGATATCAACTTTTATCATATCACTTATAGTCATGTTAATGAAAGTCATCTCATTAGAGTTCTTTGTGAATGATGAAGATATTTTCTAAAGTTTTTTTCCTAACACACATTCAATAATAAGGATTTAAAATACAAGCCCTTTGGGTATATATATATTCAAAGATTTAAACTGTTCACCACTAGGAAAAAGTGTTTAATATCTTAATAAGCTTTCAGAATTTTGTAGATTCAAGATTTTTTTCTTTTAATTTGCAATGTGGTATTGTTATGTGGAAGTATGTATAAACTATAATCATTTGTTGTACATGTACGATGTATCTTGGTGGGTGGATAAAGCACATTGATAAAATGCATAAGGACAGTATAAGATAATAATATCTATGAGCTGGGCTGGAGAGATGGCTCAGAGATTAAGAGCACTGTCTGCTCTTCCAGGGGTCCTGAGTTTCATTCCCAGCAACCACATGGTGGCTCACAACCATCTATAATGAGATCATCTATAATGATCTGGTGCCCTCTTCTGGCCTGCCAGAACATTGTATAGAAAGTAAATAAAGAAATCTTTTAAAGAAATCTATGAGCTGTACTTCTGTAATTTTCACTTAGTGTACAAACAGGATTCTCCAATTTTCATGCCTTATTCATTGTCTCTCTCCACTCTGTGCTCAGTAGTTGTTTAATCTTGTAAATGAATACATCTTAAAAATATGTCATTTTTAGTTAGGGTGTGGTGGCTCACTCCATTAATCCCAGCACTGGGGAGGCAGAGACAGGCAGATCTCTGAGTCAAGTCCTATTGGTCAGGACAACAAGGACTACACAGAGAAATCCTGTCTTAATAAACAAAACAAACAAAAGAAATGGGCAATTTTGTCATTTATTCATTGACAAATATGTGGCCTCAGCAAAATTTCTGTTATTTACAGGAGACTTGAAGTTTTTTTTTTTTTAAATTATGACTTGATATTCAGGTATATAATTTCATGTCATCTGTTGTGGAATAACCTTTTTGTATGTATACTATGAGAATGTGTCACTTGGATTGGTTTACTAAAAAGCTGAATGGTCATTAGCTAGGTAAGATTTGTGGGGCAGAGAGGATGCTGGGAAAAGGTAGGAGGTGCTAGGACACAGAGCAAGCAGCATGGACATTACAAAGTAAAGGTAACCAAGCCATGTAAAAGAAGCAGATGAAAAGAAATGGGTTAATTTAACTTATAAGAGCTAGTTAGAAACAAGCCTAAACTGTCGACAAACTTTCATAATTAATAATGAGTCTCTGTGTCATGATTTGGGAGCTGGCTGGTGGGACAGAGAAAGATTCCCTACAGTCATCCAAATAAAAGAAATAATAAAATACTGTCCTGAATTTTTGAGCTATATTATTTAATCTTGTTCTGGACCATCTACTTTTTGTGCAGCATATCTTTTGTACCTTACAAAATAATACTCTATGTGTAGGATAAAACATTTATATTTTGATGATGACTCAAAAATCACACAAAAACAATTAACTTTCTCTTTTAATGCTTGGCTGCATATATAATTATAATAATGGATGTTTGGTCATATAACATCTTTTGTTTGTTTTTTTTTTTGTTTTTCAAGATAGGGTTTCTCTGTGTAGCTTTGGCTGTCCTGAATCTGGCTCTGTAGACCAGGCTGGCCTCAAAAATCACAGAGATCCACCTGGCTCTGCCTCCTGAGTGCTGGGATTAAAGATGTGTGCCACCGCTACCTGGCAATATCTGTATTATTTAATGGACTTATTTTCGTTAGTAAATTGGCCTTAGAACTTACTTATCTATTTAACTTTGAATAATAAGCCATTATTTCCATGTTTTATTTGAGCATGCTCTTAGTCCAATAAAACTATAGAGTATTTCTACCTGCTCTATTTTGTGAATGATAGCCAGTGTTTATAGGTAAGAAAATATACTGTTTTCTGATTTATGGTTAAACATGTATGAGTAAGTCTCTCCATTTTAACAGTAAGCATTATATGTATGAAGAATATTGCTTAGCTTTTGATCATATCTCAACTTTTCCTCAACAGGAACAACACCAAATGACTGTAAGAATTTTAGCATGGCCATTGACTGTAACTCACTCCTTATTCAACGCCAGAGAATCCATACAGGGGAGAAACCCTACAAGTGTGAAATATGTGGAAAGGCCCTTAGTTCTCAAAAAACCCTATCTATACACCAGAGACTCCATACTGGAGACAAACCCTATATGTGTAAAGAATGTCATAAGGTGTTTAGTACTCGCTCATCACTTTCTATACACCAGAAAAATCATACTGAAGAAAAAACGTACAAGTGTGAAGAATGTGGCAAATTATTTTACTATCCTTCAATGCTGAAGCATCATCAAAGAATTCATTCTGGAGACAAACCCTACAAGTGTGAAGGATGTGGCAGAGCTTTTTATTATCCTTCATTCCTGAAGCGACATCAAAGAGCTCATTGTGGACAGGAACCATACAAGTGTCAAGAATGTGGGCAAACATTTTCCTGTGCTTTAATCCTTAATAAACATAAACGAATTCATATTGATGAGAAACCCCACAAGTGTGATCTTTGTGGAAAAGGATTTACTAAGCCTTCTGTGCTTTCTGAGCACAAAATATGTCATACTGGAGAGAAACCCTACAAGTGTAAAGAGTGTTACAAATGTTTTTCCTCTTCTTCAACCCTTAGAAATCATCAAAGAATTCACTCTGAAGACAATCACTACACATGTAGGGAATGTGGCAGAGCCTTTTACACTCTTTATGCCCTTACTCAGCACAAGTTTGTTCATTCTGGAGAGAAACCCTACAAGTGTATAGAGTGTGGGAAAGCTTTTTATGATCCTTCATACCTGAAGAAACATCAAAGAGTTCACTGTGGGCAGAAACCATACAAGTGTGAAGAATGTGGGAAAACATTTTTCTCTGCTTTAATCCTTAACAAACATAAACGAATTCATTCTGGCGAGAAACCCTACAAGTGTGATCTGTGTGGAAAAGGATTTGCTAAGCCTTCTTTCCTTTTTGACCACAAAATATCTCATACTGGAGAGAAACCCTACAAGTGTGAAGAGTGTGACAGATGTTTTTCCTCTTCCTCAACCCTAAGAAGACATCAAAGAATTCATTCTGAAGACAATCCCTACAAGTGTGAGGAATGTGGCAGAGCCTTTTACACGCTTTATACCCTTACTCAGCACAAGTTCATTCATTCTGGAGAGAAACCATACAAGTGTGAAGAATGTGGGAAAGCTTTTTCTTATAATTCTATCCTGATCCAGCACAAATTAAGTCATACTGCAGTGAAATCTTATCAGTGTGAAGAATGTGGGAAAATGTTTTACCCTACTTCAAAACTAAAGAAACATAGAAAAATTCATTATAAAGAGAAACTGTACAAATGAAAAAAACATTTTCTGTGGAAATGCCTTTTCTAGTAATTCTTCCCTGGTTCAGCACAAAATAGTTCATACTAGAGAAATGCCCCAAGTGTGAAGAATGTGGCAAAATGTTTTCCAGTACCTCAAAATTGAAGAGACACAAAGGAACTCATTGTCAAGAGAAACCTTTCAAATGTGAAGTATGTGGTAAGGACTTTTGTACTTGCCCAGAACTTTCTGTACATAAGAGATCTGATGCCAATAAGATACCACACAAGTGTAAAGAATGTGGAACCTCACACTTCACAAATTACATCATATCAGGGAGAAATCTTATAAATGTGAAGAATGTGGCCAAATGCTTTAGTCTACTTTGGGCCTTAAAAAAACACTAGTAAATTCATACTGGAGAAAAACCATACAAGTATGAAGAATGTCACAAAGCCTTTAGTACACATACAACCCTCAAGAGACACAAGACAGTTCATACTGGAAAGAAACCCTGCAAGTGTGAACTGTGTGGAAAAGGATTTATTAAGCCTTCTGTACTCACTGAGCACAAGATAGCTCAAACTGGAGAGAAACCCTACAAGTGTGAGGTGTGTGGCAAACGTTTTGCCTTTTCTTCAGACTTTAAAGCACATCAGAGAATTCATTCTTAAGACAGTTGCTACAAGTGTGGGGAATGTGGCAGAGACTTTACCAAACTTTGTGTATTTACTCAACACAAATTTGTTCATACTGGAGAGACACCTTACAGGTGTGAAGAGTGTGGCAAAGGCTTTGTGTGTGTATGTGTGTGTGTGTGTTTGTATGTGTATATATATATATATATATATATATATATATATATATATATATATATATATATATATATGAATCTCCAGAGTCATACACACACACACACACATATATATAGATATAGATATAGAATAATCCTCTTGTACAGTGTAAAGATGTGTCACTGGAATTGGTTTAATAAAATGTTGATTGGCCAGTAGCCAGGCAGAAAATATAGGTGGGGCAACCAAACTAAGGATGGTGGGAAAGAGAAGCACGGAGTGAGGACTTCTCAGCCAGATCCAGAGGGAGAAGAAGATGAATGTGTCATGCTAATAAAGGTACCGACATGTGGCAGAGTGTAAATAAGGAATATGGTTTAACTTAAAATGTAAGAGCAAGTTAGTTATAAGCCCGAGCTATTGACTGAGCATTTATAATTCATATTCAGCCTCTGAGTCAGTTATTTGGGACCTTCAGGTACATGTGAAGGCCATGTTCCCAGGTATCGGATGATAAGGAATATAAGTACATCTCTAACTCACTGCCAGGACACCTATATGTGATGAGGTCACCCCAATGTAGATGATTTTCAAACTCAGTTATCCAGAATGCATGGATTGTTCACTTCATGGGATCTTAAATTACCCAGGAGACAAACTTCTACTGTAGATTATTGAGGCCAGAAGACCCTCTGTTAACATGTGTGCCTTCATAATTTGGGGATGGGCCCTTGACAGTAAACAGTGCTGAAGAGAAGCATTCATTGCTCCCTCAGTCATGAATTTGTTTGTGATTTGACCAACAGAAATTTCCACTCAAGGGAAACATCCCATCCTGGAGGGGGCCTCATTAACCTTAGGAAGTAAGCATGTGATAGGTATGGGGACATTTCCAAGACTCACAGAACCCTCACTGCTCACAGCTGTATAAACAGTAAGGACTGTAGGAGAGGAGACTTCCTTATCAGTGGAACTCCCTGCAAGTCATACATTGAGCTGAAGGCAGGCAACTCTCCTTAATTCTTACCTAGCGTCCACTCAGATTTTTAGTACTGCATGGAGTAGTTGTGTGTTCCTATTCTAATTCCTTATCCATGATCCTGTCTGCAATCGCAGTATTAAACTCACTGATTCATGAAGATAGGAACTTTCGTGGAAACACTGTGTCTGTCATTAGAGCCTGATCTGAGGTGAGTAGACGTTCCTTCTCTTCACCATTGGATATTCACAGAATAGAGTGTCTTTTTGATTGCTGTGAGACAACACAATAATTTGTTGCTCATGATTTCATTGAGTAAAAGTCTTTTATTAGAGAACATAGCATCATTTAGGCAGACATAATCCTCAAACAGTAGCAGAGAGCTTACATCTTGATCCCCAGTATGAGACAGGTAATACATAGGATTCTTTAACCTCAAAGTCCACCCTCAGTAACACATACTCATGATAATGCCACACCCTCTAATCTTTATCAAACAGTTCCTACCAACTGGGGCCCAGACATTCAACTGTATGAACCTATAGATACCATTCTCATTCTAAACCACAGTGACTTTAAAGTTATAGACCATGTGAAATCAGCTGTAAATGTCAGTGAGACTAACTCCAATATGGGCAAACCTGGCACTTTGTACTGACAACACATCTGAACCAAGAGCACATCCATGGAAGTCTCTGTCTTGTGGAAGTGCAATTTCATTATTAAGGTGAGAGACCACTGCAGGGGCTGATGCTCAAAACTGTACTTCTAGGAAAGTTTCTCCAGGGTCAGGACCCAAAGTAGAAGGAAACTGTGTGATGGGGCTGACACTGTCCCAAGACAGTAGAACATGAAAGCACCGTCTACACTGTACTAGATGTGTAGACAGGGAGGTGCAACCTTATGAGTGATGCCATGAGAGTCTGTTAAAGGGTATCAAGAAAATTAAAATTTCAATGGAAAAAATACACTCATGGATACAGAGGGAATCAATCTGGCCTTTGTAGTACTATTAAAAAGAACCACTTTACCATATCAGATGTTGATAGTGAACATCAAAGTCAGATGTTCAGTGTCCTTCCTAACAGTCCCTTTGTGGTCACACTTCATGGAACATGGTGATCGCTAAGTGGAATTGGAACTGCACCATATACTCATGGTAGAAGTATAGGAAACTCTAGACTGTGTTAGATAGTTTAAACTATCTGTGCTTCAGTCCTGAGTTTGATCCAGGACCAATGACCCTTCACTAGGGAGGTAAGCATGAGCTCCTGGCACACAGGTGGTGAATATGGACCTTAGTTTGTGAAAAACCATGGAGACACTGGTAAAACTCTAGTAGAGCTCTCACAAAAACTAAATGGCTTACAGAGATTACTAGGTGAAAGTTTTCAAGGGAATGAAGGACAGGTGGAAAACTCCAGACATGGATTATGGGAGATCTTTGCAAGTAAGTGTCAGAGAGGTGGACATTTAACTTTGTTCAGTGATTATACTGTCTCTGTCCCGCACCACCTTCTACACTGTAGGGATTCCAATGTTAACAAAAAAACTGTTTTCCAAGCCATGAAGTCAGATCCATGAATGGCTCACACAGAGTGTCATTATACAGGAAGAAGGATTATTTCATTTATTCGTAGGAATGATTGTGAAGACAAAGGCGACATTATACCTAACTGCTTGAACTTGTCTTTGTTTCGACTTTCCCTATTTACAGAGATACAGGGTCTCTTTAAATTTTCCAGTCCAGCCTTTCAGCCCAGGTCCATTTGTCAAGTAACTGCTCAGCAGGAAGGAGCACGGTCAGACATAGAACGGCTGGTTTCAAAATCATGTTTAAAAGATACTTCTCATTCCTACATTAGTGTATTGTTTGGTTATTTTAAAGTAAAACTGAGTCAATGTGATTTTTAAACGCTGTAGTAATATTAAAAATCACAATATATGGACCAGAAAACTTACAAGGCTAATAATTCTGTCAAAGGCTCGATTCACATTAATAATCTAGTGTTGTATATCGGGAAGTGAACACCAGCCTCACTCCATATGGCTGTCCTGCTAACTCTGCTTCTTCTTCCCATACTCTACTGCAGGCAGCCAGACAAATCCAGGAACTCTAGAAATCTCCATACCTGGGTTCCGGGAATTCTTTCGCACAGACTTCTGGGAAATGTAGTCTTTGGGACTGTGACATCAGAGGGAGCCATGCAGGAAATCCCAGTCTGGCTTTTGATCTACACACGTGAGTCTCCCTCAAAGTTTGGCAAAAGTCCTGTCCTGCTCTACATTCCTCTTGCATCTCTGACATGGAGGTTGGTCCAGGGTGCAGCGCAGCCTGAGGCACTGTGCGGGGTGCGGGGGTCCGTCTTGGAGGGAGCGGACCTGGAGACCTGGGCTGCGTGGGAGGGCGGAAGAAGCTGCCTTGGAGGTGCTGTGCCTAACTGACTGGGTCACGTGAGGTTGCAGGTCAGGCCTGAGGAGAGGGTGATAGGGACTGCACCCTGAGTTATGGTTTCCTTAGTACGCCACGTGCAGGCCGAGTCCACCTCGGGCTTCTGGGACAGGAGAGCTGCCTGGTAGCTTGGAGTAGATGATAGTGCAAAGTCCAGGATTGCAAACTAATGATGGTCAGCTGACTGCCTGCTCCTGAGGTGGAGCTGGGAGCTCACTGAGCAGCAGCTTTGGTGGGGAAGCATGCTTCTCTAGATGAGTCATTCTCACATGGACGCTGTCAGATTTCTCAGAATCTGTAGAGCAAACGGGGTCTGGTCTTTCCTGTACTCTGTAGCCGGCCTCGTGTAACGGTCTTGAGGTTTTGATAGTGTTCATCTTATGTGCCAGTTAAAGAATTAAGAAAGGAAAAATCCAATTGGAAAAAAAGTCACAGGTGGGAAATTCTGGAGCACAGCAGACAAATTTGCCAGAATCAGCTGCTATAGAAAAGCTTTGACTAGGATGAGAGAACACACTTACAGCCCACACACAGAGGCATCTTCTGCAGGAAGAAGGAACTGGAGAAAGTGATGCCAAGCCTCACCTTGAGGGCTGGGTTTTCTTAACCTTGGAAAGGTCTTCCATCCCTTATGTAGAGTTGACCACAATGGTTGTGTCAACAAGTCTTGATCTAACCTTGAGCTTGTTGAGGTAGTCCATAAGAAGGGTCTCTAAGAACAGGTGAAAAACTCATGGCCTTGGGTTCCAGTGCCAGGCTTTTGTGTCAGGTCAGCGGGGTGAGGAAGAACTCACAGACTGTGTGATTTATATTCATGTGATTTATAGTAAACAGACCTGTGATAGGAAAGAAACTCCAGTCTACGCTATTGCACATCCCTGTCATCTCTGCATTTGTGAAGGGGAGGCAGGACCTCTGGTCCTCCTCTGCTTCATAGCAAATTCAAGGCCAGAGTCTGTGTCAGGAAACATTTAAACATACTTCATGGTCATGAGAAATACTTTCTATGGTTCTTTTCATGTTTCTTACAGTGAGCTCCATGACAAATCCATGCAATCAGCACATTGCTGACTTAAGAATTACTTGTGGTTAACGTCTGTTGACACATTCCATATGTAATTTAAACTTTTGTCACTGAGATATTTTTGTTAAAAACATTAAATTTTAGTGATTACATACTTATTTGCATTTACTCCTTGAGGAAGAATTCTCAGTGCCTTGCTTAAATATTCCTGTGTGTAGTGATTGTTTATTCCTTTTGGATATTAATCTGTGTTTGTCACTGTTATGACCTGATGCTGATTTCTTCTGCTTTCACTGATTTCTTCCAGTTTGCTCCTTTCATATCTAATCTGAGACTCCATTATTCATTTCCATTCTGCAGTTCTTGACTGATGTGGCTGCTTTGGTTACATTCCTGGGTCTTTTTCTGCAGCTGCAGCTGGGATGCCTTCCCCTGTCCTTACACCAGAGGTTCCACTGTGTGCAGATGCTTCTTACAGTGAGCCAGAACAAAACCACTTCCTCCCTGTCCTTCACATGGGCACTGCCATGTCCAACCAGTAAAGCCAAGTGCTAATGCTGGTTCCTGCTCTTCACAGGTCCTGTCCAGGTCCCCTTGTTGAGCAGTCCTGTCTCTTTCCTCCCAGGCTTCTTTCATTGTGTTCTAATGTCAGTGTGAGGGAGGGAGTTCCTTGTGTTTACAACTCATGCATGAACCTTGCTGTGTTAGACATGTCATATCTGGAAAACTCTGGTGGGAAGATATGCTGGGTATGGACGTTCAGTTCCTGTCCATCGATCTATATGAGTATGTCTGAGGCCATGGGGAGACATTGCAAAATATTTGAATAGGGGTCAAACATGCAAGGGATAAATTTGAGCAGCACAGATTTTCATTAATTACATTGTCATTTTCGATTATATTCGTGTGTTTCATAGTGTCCTCCATAGTTATTATCAAATGCAGCAGCATATTTTGAATTGAATGGTGTGTGTGGTCACATGGTCAGCGTCATCTCTTTGACAATCTGCATTCCATTGTTGTATTTGCATTATCTATAGAAAATTAAGTCAGATCTATGAAGGTGCATGTCCCAAATCTTTTTTGCATACACTCCGCTTCCTGGTGCTTTAAGAAGACTCAGAAACCATATATGTACTATTACAATCCACAAATACATCTAGACAGCTAATGTAAAAGGCAAAGCTTGTGATAGTATTTTGAAATTAAAGTTATAATATGCAATTCATGTTTCCAAAGCAGGTACTACATTTAGCCTCCCATATTTTTTCATGGTTTATTCCATTTTCTGAGTCATATGTTGCAAGACATGGTGGATTAAATCATCAATTAATGACTTTCATGCCACACGTATGTAGTTTGTATTTTAAGCACTATGTCATGTAATCGGTAGATAGGCTGCTTTGAATGAAGGGTCACTACTGTTAGGAACCTGATCAGGAATCCAGTCCTCCCTTTGCATCTGGCTTGGACTTCCCACCAATCTTCAGTTTTGTCTGATTCTCTGAAAAGGTATCTCTGAGGAATACTGACTGGAGATGCAGCAGTTCTTAATGTATCTACTCTGTCCATTCTGTTGTTCTAGGCTTGACAATAGAACCAGTTCCTATTCAAGTGGACTGCAGATTTCTGCCTCCCAATTATAGTGAGAATGTTAGCAATTTTTAATGAACAACACATTGCCCACCTCAGCCAAGACATTGTTTGCATTTCTTCTCCATAGAAAGTGAATTTTGCTAGGCTCACATTCCCTTGAAATGGTTGTCATTAGTTGTATTGGATAAAATTCCTACTAAATGCTCTCCTGTTTACAGATGCACTGCCCTCCACTGACAGCATCTCATAGGAGACTGACCTCAAGACAGCAGACATTTCCTCATGGAATGGTGGTAGACAGTGCTGGGCAACACAGGCAGTGATCCTTGCAGTTAGTTCTCTATTGGGGACCTACAATATTTCTCTCACAAAAGTATGTTTCCATCTTCACTGTGCTCAGGGCTCTTTCCATTCTCCACAGTGACCATTTTCCCCTGCTCTTGGTGATCATATTGTTAAAATGAGTCTCATCTGTGGGTTTTTTCCCCTTCCTTGTAAAGGTAGAAACGTACTCCACTAGCTACAAAGAAGCTTTCAACACAGTTCAATTGCTTTTCTCTTGAGAAATTACCGGGTATTCTAGTCACCAATTTTCTTCAGTTAGCTTGTGACCTGGAGATGTGTTGTCCTAGTTGCTACTTAACTCTGCCCTTTATTTAAGGACAGGATTCCATGTGGTCACTCTTTACAGAGTATACATTTCTGCTGTACCAAAAGTCTTGTGACAATAGCTACTCCCTCCTCCCAATGCTGACACAAACTCAGAGGATTTGAGATGGATGTGACCTGAAGGTCTCCTGCCTAAGGGTGAGTTTGCTCAGTGCTGGAAGGTGCTTTGCAAACTCCAAGGGAGAGAAGCTGTAAATTGTCCTGTGTAGTTGTTATGCCCGTGAGCCACAGCCATGACCAGGATAGCATGATATCTCTAAAGGTGCCCCAGTGCCTCTCACACCTTTGCATTAGCAGCAGCTGTCAAAGGGACTTAGAGTGGACAGGAGACCTACATAATGCTTGGAGCTGCCTCTGATGACATGTTAGGTCTTAAATCATAGAGGAGAACATTCTAATGCCACTAAACCATCATAATTCCTAACTGCACTCCAAATACTTCTCCTTAGACCTACACTGATGTATAGCTGTTACTACTCATCAAAGGTACTTCTTTCTGCAGCACAAAGAGCAATACAGAAGACTAAAATTTACAAAGTGCAGAGAACTATTGTCTTGTGATGCCCTGACCCAGAAGATACCCTGCACCACAGTTCCTGCACACAAGGCTCAGGGAATATCTCTGCAGAGGGGGCATATTGATTATGAGAGCCAGAGGTCCAGGAAGTGTGCTGTGAGGCTGTGCCTTCTAGAAAATGAAGGGAAGCTGCACCCATGATACCCCAACAATATGACAAGCCCTGAACAATGGCAGTTTCACATGATACCATGCAGGGGGGCAATCTGCTGGGTAAACAAAGAAGTATAGCACCTAAGAACTACTAAGAGAGACAGAGAATTAGTCTTCCCTAGGGATGAGCCGAATCATTATTCATCCAGGAACAAGTGGTCAGTCCTCAAAACATACAAACAGGCAACACTGAACAGAATCGGCCATTCAGATTGATATAGGTATGTGTAGATGTATTTATATATTTATGTGCTCTGTGTTTGTGTGTGTGTGTGTATATGTGTAACAATAATAATTAGAGAAGAATACATCATATATTTAAGATTGACTGTCGGGGGACATGAGAGAAGTTGTAATGAGGAGATAGAGGGGAAATGATGTACTTACAGTTTAATTCAATATTTTTTTAGAGAAAATAAAGTCATGTCAATTGGTGCAATATTGGTGATTTTCAGGCAGATAAAGCTAAATAACACATGATCTCATCAACATGTTAAATGTAAAAAATTGTAACTCACAGAAGTTCGAGATGTAATGGTTTTTTCCATTGACTAGTGACGTCAGTAAACCAAGGCTTGGGGACTTCTTGGAGAAATTGGATGCTCTGGAACAGTGTGATAAGAGGAGAAGCCCCCAGTACTGTTGCCCTGATACTCGATGTGTATAAACTTTATGTAGTGTACTTTTCAGAAGCCTGGAAGGTAGTGTTTGAGGAGCTGACCATACCATAATTGAGAAAGACAATCCAAACCTTACCTATGAAATTATTACAAAATAACGCATTTATACACATATTGCTAATAATTTTAATGCATTAATTAAAAAGGTAAAATAATGTATGACTGTTCTCATAGGTCATTCTGTGACTCTACTCAATAAGATATGAAAACACTAATTAACTTTGAAAATTTGAAATAAGGAAACAGCATCAGCAATTGTATTTCTCAGCTACAGCACACTGATACACATGTGCAAAACATGCTTTAGGAATATCGTTAATGTGTCAGTTAATACCTGTCAGAGAAAAGGTAGAAAAGGAAAGTGACTAAAAGATCGAGTGATGTCTACTCTACTTTAAATTCTCACTTGTTAGTCCTTTTCTTGCAGTTTTTAAAAAAATATGTTCAAAGCTGGGCAGTGGTGGTGCACACCTTTAATCCCAGCACTCGGGAGGCAGAGCCAGGTAGATCTCTGTGAGTTCAAGGCCAGCCTGGTCTACAAAGTGAGATCTAAGACAGGCACCAAAACTATGCAGAGAAACTCTGTCTCGAAAAAGCAAAAAAAGAAGAAAAAAAAATGTTCAAATACTTAAATGGTCTTTAGCCTGTGATTCTTCCTTTATTAGTTTACCTTTTGCCTGGTCAATCTCATGTCTCTTTGCTTCATTACTGAACTCTGTAGACATCCAGAAATCAGGACGACAGCCCGACCCGCTGCATCAACATTTGTATTTTCATTGCATTTCACGTTCATGATTACACTTAAGTGTTGAAAAGCATATTCTTCCTCACTATGACGTTCTTCTGTGAGAAATGTACGTATGTGTGGTGTATCATAGCGTATGGCACTAAATGAGTGTTCTTTTTTGGATGCATTCATTTTACATTTTATCTGTCTTAATTGGATCGTGTCCAACTGGGTTTATAGGATCTTTTAACTTGTGTTTCTTTGAAGATGGGTACAGTGTGAGATCATGTGACCACCTCAGACATGTCTGAGGAATAATACTCACCTATGTAAGAAACATTTCTAGCTCTCTTTCACCCTGAGAAAAACCTAGATTTGTATCCACAGGCACATGATGCCTGTGTTAGGGTTTCTATTGCAGTGATGAAGACCATGAAAGACAGCTTGAAGAAGAGAGGGTTTATTTTAGAGTACAACTTCAGGTAACAGTTCAAGGCAGGAACCTGAGGCAAGAAATGGAGCAGAGGACCCAGAAGAACACTGCTTACTGACTTGTCCAGAATGCTTTCCTACACCATATAGAACTGCCTACCCAGGGTGGGCGCCACCCATAATGGGCTGTGCTGTGTTATATCAATCACTAATTAAGAAAATGCCACCTAGGCTTGGCTACAGGACAGTCTTAAAGAGGCATTTTCTCTACTATGTTTCTCTCTTCTCAGATGATGCTAGCTAATGTCAAGTTGACAGGAAAACTGTCCATCCCCATGAATCTTGGTATTTATATAATAATTAATAGTTTTAATTAATTAAAAGTGTGATATCATTCATTGGTTTTTATTGCAGGAAATGCTGTCATTCTGGGATGTAGCCATTGATTTCTCTCCAGAAGAGTGGGAATGCCTGGAGCCTGTTCAGTGGAATTTGTACAGGGATGTGATGTTGGAGAATTACAGCAACCTTGTGTTCCTTGGTGAGGCTTTCATCCATAGTGAATTCTTATTTCAACATCAACTGTAGCTTCCTCACTTTGTATGGTATCTCATGGGAGCATTTCAACAGCCAGTTTCATATCCTTCATTTACCGAAAAATTAGAGAGGTTGCTCCATAGCTAAGAAACATTCCACTGTTTAAACTATTAGTGTCGTATATATATTTCATTCAGTAGTCACTCCAGTGGGACTCTTAGCAATTCCAGGGCATGAGGCTGGAGCAAACTTGTTAATTAAAGTGTTTCACAATTCAGTTTTAATGTTTTTTTTCTATAAATGAGACTCAGTATCTGGACATTGTACATTGCTTCATGTACGGTAGTGGTCCTGTGCGAAAACATTTAAGGAACTGATTGTCTGCAGTCATTTATTCCATCATCTTTCCTTACCAACAGTGTACTGGGAGGGACATGTCAATTCCCAGTAGAAGAACACTTCAACCATCTTGTTCTCTCTGCCTACAACAGGTCTTGCTGTCTCTAAGCCATGCCTGGTGACATTTCTGGAGCAAAGGCAAGGGCCTTGGGATGGGAAGATACAGGCCTCTGGCACCATGCACCCAGGTGGGTAGGGAAGAGGGGTTTAGGCAGAACTGAGGTCTAAATCTCCAACAGAAAGACAGGCTTTCACATGTGCATTGAAAACTGTTGATGTGGAGATAATTTTTTAGGTCTCTCCATTTTCGCTTGTCAAAGCACTTCTCTCAGATGTTTATGATGTTTTAAGTCTCTTAAGCTTGGCAATTCCCCAATGGTGAGCTGTGTATTTCCAAGGTTTTTCCTTTTTGTTGAGTCTACATTGTAATGTAAGAAATGCATGAAAGTCAGTACACTTTTCTACAAAGCTCTTCTTCACCCTCAGGGTGAAGCCATTGGAATACAGTAAGTTCACACCTAAGTTTCTTTTGTATCACTTACACTCATGTTAATGAATGTCATCCCATCAGAGTTCTTTGTGAATGATGAAAATTTTCTAAATTTTTTTCCTATTACATCCTCCAAAATAAGGATTTAAAATGCATGCCCTTTGTGGATATATTTTCAAAGATCAAAACCATCTGCAACTAGGAGAATGTGTTTAATAGCTCATCAATAAGCTTTCAGAATTTTGTGGGTTGGAGGATTTTTTTTACCGTGTAATTTGATATGGTGTATTGTTATTTAGATGTGTGCATTGCCTATAATCATTTGTTTTATGTACCCTATATATTTGGTGGGTGGATAAAACACATCAAGACAGTGTAAGATAAAAATATCTAATAGCTCTGGTTTTGTGAATTTTCCTTTCACAGGGAAAACCTGAGTCTCTCTTTTGTTTTTTGGGGTTTTTTTGTTTGTTTGTTTTTTGTTTTGTTTTGTTTTTTTGGTTTTTCAAGACAGGGTTTCTCTGTGTAGCTTTGGAGCCTATCCTGGAACTCGCTCTGTAGCCCAGGCTGGCCTTGAACTCACAGAGATCCGCCTGCCTCTGCCTCCTGAGTGCTGCGATAAAAGGCATGTGCCACCACCACCTGGCTGAGTCTCCCATTTTTATGCCGTGTTCATTGTCTATCTCCATTCAGTGCTCAGTGGTTATTTAATCTTGTAAATGAATAAATCTTAGAAACAGGTAAATTATCACCAGGCCTGCTACCCCATTACATTAGTCTCAGCACTTGGGAGGCAGAGGTAGGTGCATCTCTGTGCTGGAGACTAGCCTCATCCACATAGCAATTTCTAGGAGAGCCAGAGCTACAGAGAGAAACCCTGTCTCAAAAAAACAAAAACAAAGAAACAAAGAAATTTTTTACCTGTTCATTGACAAAATCCTCAGCAAAATTTCTGTTATTCACCAGTGAACCTGAATTTTTTGTTATGACTTGATATATTTCAGGAATAAATTTTCGAGTTAACAATAATAAAATATAAAGTACTGTCCTAAATCCTTAGGCCATATTATTTAATATTGCTCCAGACAGTCTACTTGCTATGCAATATATCTTTTGTATCTTCTAAAATAAAACTCTATACTTAAGATAATAATTGTATATTTTGATGTTGGTCCAATCTCACATAATCACAATTAACTTTATCTTTTAGGCTTGACTACTTTATAATTTCATTGATTTTTTTCAGCCATTTTTCATCTGTATTTTTTTATGGGCTTATTTCTGTTAGTAAAATGTTTCTAATTTAAAGATAAGCCTTATTAGTATAAATAATATCTCCTAGTTTTTGATCATATCTCAACTTTTGCTCAACAGGAACACCACCCAGTGATTGTAACAATTACAACAAGGTTACTGATTGTAAATCACTCCTTATTCAACGTCAGAAAATTCATACAGGGGAGAAACCTTACAGGTGTGAGGAATGTGGTAAGGCCCTTAGTTCTCACAAAACACTTTCCATACACCAGAGACTTCATACTGGAGACAAACCCTACATGTGTAAAGAATGTCATAAGACCTTTAATACTCGAGCATCACTTTTTATACACCAGAAAAATCATACTGATGAAAAAACCTTCAAGTGTGAAAAATGTGGCAAATTATTTCATTATCTTTCAATGCTGAAGCAACACCAAAGAATTCATTCTGGAGAGAAACCCTACAAGTGTGAAGAATGTGGAAAGGCCCTTAGTTCTCAAAAAACCCTCTCTATACACCAGAGACTTCATACTGGAAACAAACCCTATATGTGTAAGGAATGTCATAAGACCTTCAATACTCGCTCATCACTTTTTATACACCAGAAAAATCATACAGATGAAAAACCCTACAAGTGTGAAGAATGTGGCAAATCCTTCTGCTATCCCTCATTCCTTAAGCAACATCAAAGAATTCATTGTGGAGAAAATCCCTACAAGTATGAAGAATGTAATGCACGCCTTCAGGAATATCACACAATTCACACTGGAGAGAAACCATACAAGTGTGAAGAATGTCACAAAGCCTTTCGTTATCACTCAGCTCTTAGGATACACAAGACAGTTCATAGTGGCGAGAAACCCTACAAGTGTGAAGAATGTGGCAAATGTTTTTCCTCATCTTCATGCCTTAGACGACATCAAACAATTCACTCTGAAGACAATCCCTACAAGTGTGAAGTGTGTGGCAGACGTTTTTGCTCATCTTCATCCCTTAGACGACATCAAACGTTCCATTCTGAAGACAATCCCTATAAGTGTGTAGAATGTGGCAAAAGGTTTTCCTGTTCTGCAAGCCTTCAGGAACATCAAACAGTTCACACTGGAGAGAAACCACACAAGTGTGAAGAATGTCACAAAGCCTTTCGTTATCACTCAGCTCTTAGGAGACACAAGAGAGTTCATACTAGAGAGAAATCCTACCAGTGTGCAGAGTGTGGCAAATGTTTTTCCTCATCTTCATGCCTTGGACGACATCAAGCACTTCACACTGAAGACAATCCCTACAAGTGTGCAGAGTGTGGCAAAGCCTTTGTTAATCTTTATAGCCTTACTCGACACATGATAGTTCATACAGGAGAGAAATCCTACAAATGCCTTAAAAAGTTTACTTGTTCAGACCTTAAGACACATCAGATGACTCATTCTGAATAAAACTCCCTGAGTGTGTGAAGTATGTTAAAAATCTTTGCTAATCATTCAGATCTTTTTTTTTTTTTTTTGGTTTTTCGAGACAGGGTTTCTCTGTGTAGCTTTGCGCCTCTCCTGGAACTCACTTGGTAGCCCAGGCTGGCCTCGAACTCACAGAGATCCACCTGCCTCTGCCTCCCGAGTGCTGGGATTAAAGGCGTGCGCCACCACCGCCCGGCATCATTCAGATCTTAATCCAACTCAAATGAATCCATAATGGAGGATTATTATTATTAAAGACTTAATAATTATTCATTATTTTGAATGTCAACAGGAACCTCTAACTTCCAACAGTCCAAATGCTGAGAATGTCATCAAAGTACAGTAAAGACTTCTCTTTGCTGTAACCTCCCATCAGTTTGTTCAAACAGTGTGTTTGAAATTTGCCTTGATTACTGAGTCTCTTTCTTCTGTAACTATAATTGTTCCAAGAAACCTTTACCATGTCATAACTTTGTCCACTGGGTGCCCTGAATCTGAGATCTGGGCTGTGGTATTTACTGTTATTTTTCCCTGTGGTGTTACCCAAGCTCCTGTAATAACATCTCCCCTGAGTGTGTAAGAAGTTCCATAGACTCATATTTCTCATCTTGTTGGACTTTGGTGAAATGGTCTGCATTGGTAACAATCTGGGCTGAATGGGCATTAGTCTTTTTCTCCCCAGGAAATGCTAACAGAACACATTTTCAGTTATATTTGGTTCCAGAATAAAGAATGTCTCATTTCCTTTCATTTCAAGACAGTGTTTCTTATAAATCCAACTGTCACGTCATAGAAACTTGGAACCATATTGAAATAAGGATCCAAGCCACATGCACTCACTCAGCAGAAAGGATGTATTTGGTTAGTGGATATGTGATCATCAAGTATGAAACATTGCAGGTGCAGGTCTTACTTTACAGACCTGAAAAAGTCACCTCAATCTCAAGTCTATTAATTTACTGAAAATTGTTAATACATGGTAATTAACCTAAACATTGACAATCACTGACTTATAAATGATTAAATGTTTCTATTGTGCCCAAAATTGTGTTTCTAGTCATGCTAAGTATGAATGAAATTTATTTACAGAGACGAGATAGGAAGGAGAATCCCATTATGCCTCTCATTCTATAGTCTTCTTTATATGCTATTGAAGTACATTCCAAAGCACATACCTCAAAACAAGTTTAAACATAGTTTAATATGACATAAAATTAAAAACCAAGTGTAATTATATATTTTTTTAAAAATCCTAGTTTGGGAAATAGAGTGCTAGTGCTAAAGGTGTTAATTTTACAATCCTCTTAGATGACAGGACGCCCCCAGGCTCAAGTAGCACCATTTCCCTTGGAGGAGACACAGACCCTATCAGAGTAAATTGCAGGTTCATCATGTGACACCATAAGGATGTAAGGGGAAACACTTGCTGAATGTCTGCTGCTCTTGTCTCCCCTGCCACATCTGCTCCAGTGACCAGGCCCTGCTTAAGTAACTGGTTGTTAATCTTTGTCAAATGACAGGTTGCCTCGGGAAAAGAGATTCCGAGAGCCTTCTTAAAAAAAAAAAAAATCAAAGTTTTGAAAGTAACTAAAAGAAGTGGGCCATGAAGTCACTTAGGCTGTGTCAGAATGTCCTGATTATACCTCATCTCCTCTGGAGCCTCTACAGGCAAATAAATTTGTAATGTCCATACACAAAAGACAATTGTTTATATATATATATATATATATATAATGGAAAAGTAGAAACATAAACAAGAGTAGCCAGGCTTATTCAGGCAGAAACCAAGGCAGACCATAGGCATGAGGCAAAGGATTTTCAAGGACAAGGAATACCCTATTACAGTTAGAGAAAGCAGGCTTAGAGACCTTAGAAAGGGAAAGCATTTGGACCCAGTATAGCTTCTCTAACTGGAGAACCACACAGCTCACACTTTAGTATAGAAAAAGAGGTCCCACACCCCATAGCCACTATGAATTGGGGCTTGACCTCTCTGCCTGGTTAAGCTACTGGTTGCCTGGGGTTTCAGAAGGGTAAAGAAGTCCAGAATGGATGCTCCACCACTGGCAACATGGCAGCTTCTCCTCGGGAGCCTACTGAAGGCACCACAGGTGGTCCTTTCTGGCCTCCCTCACCTCAGGATGTGAGTGCAGCAAAGCAGCCCAGTTTCCAGGCTGCATCTTGCACTGGGTTGCTTTAAGGTTCATCAAAGCCTTGTGAACTCATGAGAAGTATCTGAGATAACTAATTGCATCCTGGCAACTATTAGAGTCTAAGTGGACATTGAGAATGGATTGCCTGTCCTAGTAAGAGATGCAAGTGAAACTCTCTGAAGCTGCCAGAGTAGAGGTTAAGGTGCATAGTAACATATTTGATTGTCAGATTTCAATAAGATTATTTGATACTTCTGATATCTTTGTATTTTAGAAATCAGCATTTCTGTGTCCTGATTTTGAGAAACAAAGGTAAGTTCAAGACTTTCAAAATACTGTCGCATAGGAAGAATTTCAGTATCAGAAGGCAAAGGAAATTGAACAAGACAGATCAAACAAGAGGGAATTCCAATAATGGGCGAGTGGTCATTACACACACCTGTTTGAGACAGGGACGGTACCCCTCCAGGTGGGATGGGAGCAGGGGGCATAAACATGAACTAATAGCAGTGTATGTGTACGTGAGTTTGTGAAAAGTCAGGTTGATATTGGTAAAATACTAGTAGTGTTCCCACTAAAGCTGAATTTCTTATGTACTTTAACATCTGAAAGATTTACAAGGGACTTAAGGATTGGTGGGAAAATCCCGCGATGAATTATGGGAGTTTGTTGCAAATAAATGTTAGGGGGTTGGACTTTTGTTCAATGCTTTGTATGCTCTCTGTGTCCCTGACCAAACTAACTTCACTATATGGGGTTCCAAAGTTCACACAAAAACTCGGAGTCTCATCTATGTTATGGCTCACACAGAGGTTCAATACAGAGGAACCAAGATTATTTATTTCTAGTACTGTGTATTAAGACAAAGTCTACATTAGAGTCAAGAGCTTTAACATAGGCTAACTACGGGAGTAAAGAGAGCAGAGTACAAATTCAAGAAGAGGGGGGGAACGAAAAAACAAAAGAACCACACACTAGACTTCCGGGTAGATACCTGCACAGAATTCTGGGATATGTAGTTCATGCGATTGTGACATCACAAGGAGCCGTCCAGGAAATTTCAATTGAGCTTTCGTTTTTGTACAGGTGCGTCTTCCTCAGACTTGGGCGAGAGTCCTGCCGGCTCTACATTCCTGTTGCGTCTCCGACATGGAGGTTGGTCCAAGGTTCCGCTCAGCCTGATGCACTGTGCGGGGTGCGGGGTCCGTCTTGGAGGGAGCGGACCTGGGCTGGGTGGGAGGGCAGAAGAAGCTGCCTTGGAGGTGCTGTGCTGAACTGACTGGGTCACGTGAGGTTGCAGGTCAGGCCTGAGGTGAGGGCCATAGGGACTGTGCCCTGAGTGATGGTTTCCTTAGGACACCACTTGACAGCCCAATCCGGTTGGGCTTCTGGGACAGGAGAGGTGCCTGGTAGCGCAAAGACCAGGATTGCAAACTAATGGTGGTCAGCTGACTGCCTGCTCCTGGGGTGGAGCTGGGAGCTCAGTGAGCAGCTTTGGTGGGGAAGCATGCTTCTCTAGATGAGTCATTCTCACATGGACACTGTCAGATTTCTCAGTATCTGTAGAGCAAACGGGGTCTGGTCCTTCCTGAACTCTGTAGCCGCCTAATGTAATAATCTTGAGGTCTTGATCGTGGTCATTTTATCTGCCAGTTAAAGAATTAAGAAAGGAAAAATCTGAGACGAGAAAAAGGTCACAGGTGGGAAATTCTGGAACCAGTCGACAGATCTGCCAGAATCAGCTGCTATAGAAAAGCTTTGACTGGGGGTGAGAGGACACACTTACAGCCCACACACAGAGGGACCCTCTGCAGAAAGAAGGAACTGGAGAAGCTGACTCCGGGCCACACCTGGAGGGCTGGGTTTTCTTAACCTTTGAAAGGTCTTCCATCCTTAATGTAGGATGGACTAACTGTAAAAACAGCATGATGTCTCCTTGGCCCAAAATGGTTGCGTCAACATGTCTTGATCTGGCCTTGAGCTTGTTGAGCTAGTCAAGAAGCAGGGTACCAAGGAACAGGTGAAAAGGTCTCATGGCCTTGTGTTCCAGTGCCAGGCTTTGGTGTCAAATTGTCAGGGTGAGGAAGAACTCACAGACTGTGTGTATTCATGTGATTTACAGTAAACAGACCTGTGATAGGAAAGAAACTCCAGTCTACGCTATTGCACATCCCTGTCATCTCTGCATTTGTGAGGGGGAGGCAGGACCCTCTGGTCCTCCTCTGCTTCATAGCAAATTCAGAGCGAGAGTCTGTGTCAGAAAACATTTAAACATACCTCATGGTCATGAGAAACACTTTCTATGTTCACTTCATGTTTCTTACAGTGAGCGCCATGACAAATCCATGCAATCAGCACATTGCTGACTTAAGAATTACTTGTGGTTAACGTCTGTTGACACATTCCACATGTAATTTAAACTTTTGTCACTGAACTGGGCTCTTTTAGGGAGTGGCTCTTGCAGTGAGTGAGTTCTCCATTGGGGACCTGTTCTAGTTCTCTCATAGAAGAGTGTTTTCCATCTTCACTCTGTCTGGACTCTTGCCATTCTCCATGGTCATCAATTTCCCTACTCTTGGAAGTTCATAGTTTAAAAGAGTGGAAATCTGTTTTCTGGGGTTTTTTCTCACTTAGTTGTAAAGGTGGGAACGTGGTCTACATGCTACAAAGGTGCTTTCAACACAGTTCAATTGCTTTTCCCTTGAGAAATTAAAGGGTGTTCTATTCACCAAATTTATCTGGTCTGCTTGTGATTTGAAGATGTATTGTCCTCCTCATTGCTGCTTAAGTCTGCCCTTTATTAAAAGACATTTTCAGTGTAATCATTCTTTACAGAGTAGACCTTTCCTCTGCACCAAAGTCTCGAGAGCATGCCCCACCCCCTACTAGTGCTGAAAACACCATGCACTTCAGGCACAATGTTCTGAGTCTTACCTGAGAGCCTCCGACCTAAGGATGAGTTTTCATAGTACTAGAAGATGCTTTGCAAGCTTCCAAAGGAGAGAAGTGATAACCCAACAATAGGACTACCTGAACAGCATCTGAACAATGACAACATCAATATTCATGGTACCCTGTAGATGGCAGTCTCATGTGTACCAAAGAACTGCTGAGAGATGGAGAATTAGTCTTCCCCAAGGATGAACCCACTCACTGTTCATCCAGTGTGAAGAGGTCAGTCCTCAAAACATACATACAGGCAACCTGGACAGAATCAGCCTTTCATATTTATATAGTTATGTGTGTATATACAATATATTTAACCATAATAATTAAAGAAGACGTCATACATTTGAGATGGACAAGAAAGGAGTGGGAATGAGGAAGGGGGAATGATATACTTTAATTGCACAATTTTTCAGAAAAACAAACCAGTCTAGTCAGTTGTGATAATATGGGTGAAACTGGAAATTATTCCAGGCAGAGAAAGCTAAGTACCACTTGATCACATTGATAGGCTACATGCTATCAATGTAACTCACAGAAGTTGAGATACAACAATTTTTCCCACCAGCCAGGGACATCAGGAAACTGAGTCTTAGGGACTTACCAAATAGATGCTCTGGAACAGTGTGATAAGAGGGCAATCTATGCTCACAGTACTGTTCCTCCTAATGCTGGATGTGTGTAAACATTATGTAAAGTACATTTCTGAAGCCTGATTTATAGTGTTTGAGTAGATTAGTATACAGAAACTGAGAAGGATGATCCAAGTTTACTCCTAAAATTATTACAAAATACTCCATTAATATTTAAGTTGCTGATAATTTTCATGTATTAATAAAAAGGAAAAATAATGTAGGGCTATTCCCATAGATCATTCTGGGACTTTACTCAATAAGATGTGAAAAACAGAAATCTGAAGGTAGAAAATTTTGAAATAAGATAATAGCATCAGCCAATATGTTTCTCAGCTACAGCATACTGACAAACAGGTGTCATATATGGAAAACATGTTAGGAATATCACAAACACATTGATCAGTACCCATCAGAGAAAAGACAAAGAGTGAAAAATGACTAAAGATCAAAGAGATGTCTGTTCTATTTTAAGTTCTCCAATAGTGTTCTTAGTCCTGTAGTTGATTTTTTTTCATACGTTCACATCTATTTTTTCGGTGAGTTCTTCCTGTATTATTCTGCATGTTGATGGTGAAATACAAATTTACTATAGATGCAGTGCTCATTCAGGAAATCAAGGGTGCTCTCCTTGTCTGCTCCATCTCATGTCTCTTGTCACTGTCACTGGTGTCACTGCCGAACTCTGTACAAATTCAGAAACCCAGACTTCAGCCAGAGCTGCTGCTGCATCAGAATCTGTATTTTCATTTCATTTCGTTTCATATTTGTGATTGTGCAAATTAAGTGTTGAGATTTCCTTCTCCCTCACCATTTTTTCTCCTCTAAGAAATTTGTGTGTGTGTGTGTGTGTGTGTGTGTGTGTGTGTGTGTGTGTGTGTGTGTGTGTGGTGTGTAATACAAGCGTATCACACTGTTACACATCATTCTGCTTTCCTATACCATATAGGACAACCTGCCCTTGTGGACATCACCCATAATGGGTTGTGCTGTCTCATATCAATCACTAAGAAAATGCCACCTAGGCTTTGCTACAAGACAGTCTTAGGGAGGCATTTTCTCAATTATGTTTCTGTCATCTCAAATGACCCTAGCTGGAGAACTATCCAGCCTGATGAATCTTGGTATTTATGTTCTTATTGGTGGTTTTAATTAATTAAAAGTGTGATGTCATTCATTGATCTTTATTTCAGGAAATGCTGTCCTTCTGGGATGTGGCCATTGATTTCTCTCCAGAGGAGTGGGAATGCCTGGAGCCTTCTCAGTGGAATTTGTACAGGGATGTGATGCTGGAGAATTACAGCCACCTTGATTTCCTGGGTGAGCACCTCATCCACAGTGAATTCTTATTTCACCATCAACGTGTAGCTTCCTCGCTTTCTACAATATCTCATGGCAGCTTGTGCTTTTCAACAGTGAGTTTCATATTCTTCACCTTAAGAAAAATTAGAGACATTGCTCCATATCTAAGAAACATTTCGATGGTTTTTCTTTTTTATGTGTGTGTGTTTGAACTGTCAGTGTTGGATGTACGTTTCCTTCACTCTAGTGGGACTGTTAGAAATTCAATGGCAGGAGGCATGGAGTACGCTTGTTAAGTGTTTTACAATTCAGTTTTAATGGTTTTCCCTTTAAATGAGACTCAGAATCTGGACACTGTAAATTTCTCTACTATAGTAATACTGTCAGAAAACATTTAAAGGCCTGCTTGTCTGCAATCATTTATTGTATTATCTCTTTCTTATCAACACTGTACTAAAAAGGACATGCCAATTCCTAGTAGAAGAACACTTAAGCAATCTTGTCCCCTTTTCTGACAAACAGATCTTGCTGTCTCTAAGCCATTCCTGGTGACATTTCTGGAGCAAAGACAAGGGCCTTCAGGTGTGAAGAGACAAGCAACAGCCACCGAGCATTCAGGTGTGTAGGAATGGGGTGGGGGGGTTCAGGAACAGATTTGAGGTCCAAATATCCAACAAAGGCAGGCTTTCCCATCTGCATTGAAACATGATTATGGAGATAATTCTTTAGGTCTCTCCTTGTTATTGTTGTCAAAGGACATCTCTTAGATGTTTATGATGTTTAAGTCTCTTAAGCTTGGTAATTCCCCAGTGGTGAGTTGTTCATGTATTTACAGTGACTTCCAAGGTTTATCTTTTTCTTGAGACTACATTGTAATGTAAGACTCAGGGAAATGTCACTCTATGCAGAAAAGTCATTTATTTGCTGGAGTTTAGTGTAGGCTCTTGCTGGAAAGATTTCTACACTGAAGTGAGGCATGATTGGGTTTATAAGTCCAAACCTACAATTCCATCACAGAGAGGCAGGCAGTGATAGAAGGTCAACAGTTTCAGTTCTGTTGATGAAAACGATTTTGGGGAGGGGAGCAGTTGGATAAAACTTAGACAAACCAGAGCCACTGTGGACAGTTCATTCCCCACTGGTCTTAGGGAAGAGTTAGTGCATTGACTTATTTTATAAGGGGTAGTATTGGCTACTAGGTCCACTAACTAAACAGAGGCTGTTTTATTTTTCAACACAGTTATACAACCAGGTAATCATGTAGAGTGAGACTATTAGACCTAGGAAGAGAAGGATGAGAGGTCCTGTGGTGCCTGGGAGTAAGGTGTTCAGCCTTGGTCCCACCAAACCAGCTATGATAACAGGAGATGTGTGCCTCTCTTTCTCAGCAGTTAATAGGTTTAGGCCTTTTACAGAGTTGCAAGACTCCATTTTTTTTCAGTTAAATATATCATCTACAAGGAATAACTGTTCCTTGGATATACCCCTACATAAGTCATTGAAGACATCAGATAAATTTATTTATAAACCTGTCATTTCCAGATATATGATGGCTACTGAAATGTTTTGTTTTAGAGTCTAGTCCTCGGTTGCTATTGTTGCTATCCCTGAAGGAAACATTATGACTCATATTTCCAGTCCAATGGGAGAAAAGGACTTCACGGTCCCTTCTAAATGTCTCTTGTTGAATTATTTAAACTTTCTTGATGTGTGTACATTGTTCCTGGTTTGTGATGGGAGCAGGACTGAAGAACATCCCAGATGTCTCTGGAAGGTGACTCAGAGGGGTTTGGATGAACTTTCACAGTCCATGTCTCCTCCTCCTCAGGTGGTTTTACTTGTCTTACCTGACTGTGGTGGGTCCACACATGGCACAAGCAACTTAGTTTAAATGAGTGCCACAGTTCATCCTGCTGTGCTGACTGGCCCTGTGACAGAGCCTCTGTCATATGTTATCTACCACTTTGCTGAGGACTCCTTCCACAATCAGACATGGACAGCTCAGCTCTGGGATTAGCTTTGTTAGGAGGAGGAATATTGAAAGCCAGGGGACAGGGCATGACCGTTTGAACTAACTAGCAGTATAGTTCCCATACCATTTGGGTGCCAGGTGTAGGTACAAGGTTCCTCTGTACATAGGATACTCAACATCAGTTCATAATACATTGAGTGCAGAGTGATTGCAATAAGTGTCTCCATTGCTTGAGACATTTAGGATGTGGGTGCAAAATCTAAGATCCTCTACAGCATGAGAGAATCCATTCCGTCTTGTGGGACATGAGGAGTAATTCATCTTCCTTATAGATAATGAATAGGATTTCCTAGTCTGGTCTTCGGGCCTGAGGGAGACAGGAGCAGCAGATTCTGGCAAGTCCTATTCTCTATGCATCCTTATTCTGTGATGAGGCTAGCATGCCATTTACTCTTGTATGGTCTTTGCCCCATTGGAGGGTAAGTGTGCTGTTTGATCCTTGATGTATTCTGTCATGCAAGTGTAGTGTCGATTTAACACTTTTTATTTCAGCATTCAATTTCAGTAACCGGTTTTTTTATGTATACTTCATATTTGAATATTATCCCCTATTAAGCAAAAAGTTAAAATTAAATTTGTTTTATGTTACCTGCTTTATGCTTAACTTAGATAACATGTACACTGGCCTGTATAATAGAAAATATAGATTGGTCTCTTCTTCCAATATTGTCTCTGCAAATGAATTACATTTGTGTTTAGCATGATATTTACAAACAGATATTTGGATACATTAAAGATATTTAATCACTCATTAGATGACTCGTCATTAGGTATTTTGTGTTAATTATCTTTGTAACAGTTTACAGTAAATTAGAGACTCTAATTGGGATTTTATAATTGAAAGTAATTTATCTCTGTTAAAAATTTGAATCCTCACTTTAGCATTTTTTGATCTGAAAATGCTTTATACAGAATTAAACTTTAAACATAAATACAGTCCATGGAAAAACTGGTAACCTCCCTGTCCTCATATCTTTATGGTGGAACTTTACAAAAATCTGAATTAATCCAACAGGTCTTCTACATTAAGGACCTTGTTTTATCACAAAGAATACAACCAGAGGAGAGAATAGAAAGGTTAACCTTTATATAAAGACACCTGTGAGAATGAATAAAAAGGTGTACAATTAATTATCAACACAGTTGTCCTGACTCAGTTTCTCCAAATATCTAAAGTTTAACAAAGTTAGCAAAGACATAAGTGATTAGTCATTTTTTTAATTTAAGAAATTTTTTTTATTCATTTTTACATACCAACCACAGATTCCCCCTCTCATCCTTCTCCTCCCCCCCCCCCCAGCTTTCCCCTTCCCAACTATCCCATCCCCTCCTTCAAAAGGGTAATGGCTCCCATAGGAAGTCAGCAAAGTCAACATTCAGTTGAGGAAAGACCAAGCCCCTCCCCCCTGCATCAAGGCTGAGCAAGTTGTCCCACCATAGGTAATGGGCTTCAGAAAGCCAGCTCATGCACCAGGGATAGATCCTGATCCCACTGCCAGAGGCCCCTCAAACAGACCAAGCTACGCAATTGTCTCCTGTATCAGAGGGCCTAGTCAGGTCCCATGCAGGTTCCACAGCTGTCAGTCTAAAAGCCATGAGTTCCTATGAGCTTGATTCAGTTATCTCTGTAGTTTTCCCCATCATGATCTTGACAAACACACACACACACACACACACACACACACACACACACACACACACACACGCTCATAGATCCCTCTTTCCTCTCTTCGACTGGACTCCTGGAGCTTGGCCTGGTACTTGGCTGTGAATCTCTGCATCTGTTTCCATCAGTTACTAGATGAAGGCTCTACGATGACAGTTAGGGTAGTCACCGATCTGATTACCAGGGTAGGCTAGTTCAGGCACCCTCTCCACTACTGCTAATAGTCTGAGCTGGGGTTGTCCTTGTGGATTCCTAGGAATTTCCCTAGCAGTATGTTTCTCCCTAACCCCATAATGTCTGCCTCTAACAAGATATCTCTTTCATTGCTCTCCTACTCCATCCCTCCCTCAGCTCAACCACCCCATTCTCTCATGTTCTCCTCCCCCATCCCCTTGCCTCTACTGCCTCTCCCCCTGCCCCAGTTTACTCATAGAGATCTTATCTATTTCCTCTTCCCAAGGTGATCTATGCATCCCTCTTAGGGTCCTCCTTGTTACCTAGCTTCTCTGGAGCTGTGGGTTGTAGTCTGGTTATCCTTTGTTTTACATCTAGTCTAGATAGTCATCTTTAAGTCAGTTTTTGTTAGCATGAGTAGATTTTCATAACCTTAGGAACTTTTGACAGTTAAGTATATCATCTTTAAGTCTCATCTACCATAAGGCCTGTATAATATAGTCAGACCTCCTATCACCTGAAGACTTTCTGGGTTTGGTCCCCTCTTTATGTTACTTATCTAATCTAAAATAATTTAACCCCTTTTTAAAAGATATAACCTCAGATTTATGTCTTTTATTTTAAATGGTTTCACTGATCTGGAGATAGTTTATTTCTTTTTTTTTTTTTTTTTTTTTAAAAGATTTATTTATTTATTATGTATACAGCATGTATGACCAGAAGAGGGAGCCAGATCTCATTAGGTGGTTGTGAGCCACCATGTGGTTGCTGGGAATTGAACTCAGGACCTCTGGAAGAGCAGTCAGTGCTCTTAACCTCTGAGCCATCTCTCCAGCCCATATTTCTTAACAAGAGCTTTAACAAGATATCAATAGCCTTGGATGAGAGAAGATTTTTTGCAAACAAGAACCAAGAGGGTAAGTATAGAACAGGAGTTCAATCTGCAGATTCGATTAAAGCACCTCACTTCCTTTGGCCCAGACATCTGATCCTTTACATATACCCCCTTGGTTAAGCAATTTCAGATGAGACAAGATAATATTAACAAGTAAATTTATCATTTGATGTAACAGAATTTCCCAAAGCAGAGGTTGTTAGGCAGTATCTATTTTCATGTGGCCCTTTAGCCAATACAACAGGTTTCCCATCACTGAATAGGTAGACACCTGCACCTGAGTTTTGATTTTTCTGGCCTATATGCCCTAGTGTCTCCAGAAAACCTTGAGACCTCATGTAGTCAAAGCCTCATTCCTTGCAACTATCTGGGAGAAGTGACTGGATACTCACATGAGAATTCAGTGACCTTGACTCTAGCTCCTTTTTTTGATTAATATTAACATTTGACAAGCCCAGCTGTGATTGCTTTTATCAACACAGCTAGAATTATGAAGATGGTCATTGTTCAGCTTAGAAGATACTGTGCAACATCAATTACATAAAAGAAGGTTGAATCCAAACTACACAGCAAGGGTAATGAGATTCATTCATATTACTGGTGCACACACTGTTAAACCATAGCACCTTGAAAGATTCCAGGTAAACCTTATAGAAAACATGACAGTCTTCATGATTTAGATAGTATGTAGACTTATCATGATCATTATTAAGTAAACATAAACATTAACAGAATTTAACTGACTATGATTTTGAGATTACTATTGATAAATTTTAGACAGAGTGTCTTTTTAAATCCCCTTTAACGATGAGGATCCCATTAGTTGTTTTTATGATGTCCATATTCCTACCATGAGGTATACTGAATAAATAATAGCTTTTACATGAAGTAGTTTGCTTCTTAGCCGTTCTCAAGCACATAGTGTCTTTTCTTAGACTGTCTTATTGTTCTCCTTCTGCCTGTCAGAGAGTCAGGGAGCCAGCCTGACCCAGGACAGGGCATTGGAAGAAACTCGGAGACAAATATGCTTAGGTTTGAAGTGAGTGGGGCAAATCCTATCTCTAGAGCCAGGTTTTCAGTGAGCTAAAAACAGCATATAACTATTTAAAAAATATTATCTATACGCAAAAGGCATTTGTTTATAAGACTAAACCCAGTGATTTACATATCCATAGCTGGTTTGTGTCAGCACATGTGGGCAGACAACCTGAATAGCTCTAGATGTATTTCCCCTGTTATAAAGATACCAGGCTTTAGGATAATAGAATCCTATGAGACAGGGACATAGTGGCTTCTTTGTGGATCAACCGCTAAGCTTAATACACAAGTACCTGTAGCCTAGAGACATTTAAACAGAAAACCACAAAAACTAGACATCTAAGGAACTCTGAAAGTTCTAGAAATGAAAACAAGAGTATCCAGGCTTGGTGGAGCAGAAACAAGGGCTGACCTCAGCCACAGGGCAAAGGAGTCCCAAGAACAGACAGAATGTCACATGTCAGAGGAATCAGGCTTGCATATCCAGTAGAAAGGACCCAACATAACTTCTGTCTCCAGTCTCCTACTTCACAAGCAGTGCACTGAAGGAACTCTCCCACAGAAAAACTGACTATAACTTCTTGTTCACAGTGAGCTAGAATCTTGGACCTACAAGCTGGGTAGGCCCCTGGAATAACTAGGAATCTGCTCATGCCCACACTGCAACTGCTAGTCTGGAGGCTCCCACTCCCCATTGTGTCCTGAGGTGTAGGTTGTCCTGCCTCCACTGAGATCTTACTGTGCATGGATGTGCCAGTGAGATTATATGGCTCAATCCCAGCAACCAAAGGAGCCCTTTGGGTATATGGGGCTAGGAGTTTGCTGAGTTTGGAGTCTTGAAAAGACTATCAGGAGTGAGCTCAATGCTGGGGATGAGTGGATTGAAGAGGAAGAGACATGGAGTTTCCAAGAACCACTCATACAAACTCAGAAAGGAGGTTGGTACTGCTCATGGAGCAAGGATAGAGGAACCCCGCAGCTTCCAGCCACATGGAATCCAGAGTGAGCCCAGAGAGTGGCCTGATCTCTGTTCCATGATGAGGGTCAGGGAAAGGGACAAAAAGCAAGGCACAGAACAATAGAGAAGACAGCATAGATGGAGTGGATTATGCAGTCGTTCGTTCAGCATCCAAAGAAATGATACAAGACAAGGATTTAACAGAAAATTTGTATCCATTACTTCTTCAGTCAATGTCTTGATTCTCAGAGGAAGTTTCCTGGGAGAAGTATCCATCAGAATTCACCCCCATTACGAGAAACTAGACCAGACACGGAAATAAACAAAAGACAAGGATTTCATCAAAAGTCTCCGAGTAGGACCTCCACCACCAATGTTTTCACTCTTAGTGGGAAAGTCCGGGTAGGATCCCTCATCACCATTCATTCCCTTTACCAGAGACTACACCAGACAACATATCTGCACCTACCTCCTCGGAACACAGTCTTTCTTTGTCAGGAAACATAGGGGTCATTCTGGGAATCCGGCTCTGGTGTGAGTGTTATGGTATCATGGACCATCTCAGGGACACCTTTCCTGTACCAATCCACCAAGCCTGGGAGACCCAGAGAGAGTCTGAGTCCCTTGATTGGCAGAAATCTTGTAGGTTCCTGCAAATGTTGCATCTCCAGGGGACAGAGGGGAAGACCACGCAACACCTGACTGGAGTCATGTATTTTCTGGCTGTGGGGAGCAGGTTCACACCAGAAAGAAGTCTTTTCCTGAAGTGAACCATGTTTGGCTGATAGAGCCAAACCCCGAATTACCTCATACCAGAGGCTAACCAGGAGCCTGAAATTTCAAATTTGTCAGTTTTATTGATTCAATTTATGTTGTAAAACAGTGGCTCTTCCAAAGCTGCAGGTGAGGCTACATGAGAGCATTTTCTCAGTAGGTTTGGTTAGTTAGCTGGGGGAGCAGTTGGATAAAACTCAGGCAAAATGGAGTCCCTTTGGGCAGTTCAGTAACAGACTTTGCACTGTTTGTTCACATCTGAGAGTTGCATAATTTCTAAAGACCTTGTGTGAAACCATTATAAGACAGGAAATTCACACATAAGTTTCTTTCATATTGCATACATTCGTATTAATGAAAGTCATCTCATCTGAGTTCTTTATGAATGATGAAAATATCTTCTCATTTTTCTCCTATCACACACTCAGTAACAATGATTTAAAATGCATGTACTTTGGGGACATACAGTCAAATGTAAAACTGTCTACAACTCGGAGAATGTGTTTGATAGCTCATCAATAAGCTTTCAGGATTCTGTAGATTCAAGATTTTTTCTTTACTTTGCAGTTTGATGTTCTGTGTTCATATCTGGACAGGGCACAAGGCCTATAAGCATTTGTCTGCATGTAATCTATATATTTACATAGGTGGAATATCCAATTATAAAACACATCAGGACAGTGTAAGGTAAAGAGATCTGTTAGGTCTAATTCTGTGAACATGAGAACTGTGTGTTTCCACTTCTATGTAATCACAAGTCCTTATATGTCTGTGCCTTGCACATTGTCTCTCTCCCTCATTACTCAGAGGTTATTTAATATTGTAAGTGAATTAGTCCTTAGAAATTAGGTTAATGTTATTATCTATTCATTGACAGGTTGTCTTCAGTGAAAGTTCTGTTATTTACAGCTGAACATGAAGGGTTTTCATAACTTCATAACCTTCAGGCATATATTTTCATGTCATCAAAATAAAATGTAGAATACCATCCTAAATCCTTGAGATAAATTATTTAATAGTTGTGGACAGTCTACTTATTTTGAAGCATGTCTTTTTTTGCCTTCGACTTTTTACTTAAGATAAAAATTATGTATTTCTGTTCGTCCTATCTCACAAAGTCACAATAAAATTACTCTTTTCCAAGGATGTCTACTTTATAATTTCATATCTGTCTAGCCATATAACACCTGTATTATTTAATGGGCTTTTCTGTTAGCAAAATTATCTTAAAAGTTTCCATAATTTTATCTGTCACAATTTATTTAGCTATTTAACTTTGAATAATATGCCATTATCCATTATTTCTATGTTCTATTTGGTTGTGCTTTTATTCCAGTTGTTTCTGCCTACTGTGTTTTCTGAATTATGCTCATTGTGTATAGGAGTTGAAATGTATTGTAGTTTCTCATTTAAGGTTAAACATATATGAGTAACCATCTCCATTTCAAAGGTAAACATTATATGTATGAAGAATGTTGCTAAGCTTTTGTTCCTATCTCAACTTTTGCTCAACAGGGACAACACCCAATGAATGTAATGATTACAGCAAGGTCTTTGGTGATAATTCACTCCTTATTCAACGCCAGAGAATTCATACAAGGGAGAAACCCTTCAAATGTGAAGAATGTGGTAAGGCCTTTAGTTCTCGCTCAACACTTTCTATACATCAGAGACTTCATACTGGAGACAAACCCTACAAGTGTGAAGATTGTTGTAAAACCTTTAATACTCGCTCTAAACTTTCTATACACCAGAGAATTCATACTGGAGAAAAACCCTACAAGTGTGAAGAATGTCATAAGGCCTTTAGTACTCGTTCAACACTTTCTGTACACCAGAAAAACCATACTGGAGAAAAACCCTACAAGTGTGAAGAATGTGGCAAATCATTTTACTATCCATCAATGCTGAAGCAACATCAAAGAATTCATTCTGGAGAAAAACCCTACAAGTGTGAAGAATGTGGCAAAGCTTTTTATGATCCTTCATTCCTTAAGAAACATCAAAGAGTTCATTGTGGAGAGAAACCCTACAAGTGTGAAGAATGTGGCAAATTTTTTTCTTATTCTTCAGACCTTAAAATACATCAAAGAATTCACTCTGAAGACAATCCCTACAAGTGTGGGGAATGTGGCAGAGCCTTTTCTAAGCTTTCTACCCTTGCTAAGCACAAGTTTGTTCATTCTAGAGAGAAATCGTACAAGTGTGAAGAGTGTGGGAAAGCCTTTGCTTCTAAATTTTCCATGATTCAGCACAAGTTATGTCATATTGGAGAGAAATCCTACCAATGTGAAGGATGTGGCCAAATGTTTTACTCTACTTCTGACCTAAAGAAACATAGAAGACTTCACTGTCAAGAGAAACTGTACAAGTGTGAAGTCTGTGGAAAAGCCTTTTCTAGCAATTCTTCCCTGACTCAGCACAAAATAGTCCATACTGGAGAGAAACGACACAAATGTGAAAGGTGTGGCAAAAAGTTTGCCTATCCTTCAAAACTGAAGAGGCATGAAAGAATTCATCGTGGAGAGAAACCCTACATATGTGTAGTGTGCGGCAAGATCTTTTGTACTCATGCAGAACTTTCTGTGCACAAGAGATCTCACACTGTGGAGAAACCACACAAATGTGAAGAATGTGGCAAAACCTTTTGTATGCTCTCATACCTTCCTCTGCACAAATTGCGTCATACAGGGGAGAAATCTTACAAGTGTGAAGAATGTGAAAAAATGTTTTACTCTACTTTAGACCTTAAAAAACACCTAATAATTCATACTGGAGAAAAACCATACAAGTGTGAAGAATGTCACAAAGCCTTTCGTAATCAATCAGCCCTTAATAGACACAAGGCGGTTCATACAGGAGAGAAACTCTACAAGTGTGACGAGTGTGACAAAGTCTTTACCTATTCTTCAGACCTTAAAAGACATCAAAATATTCACTCTGAAAACAACCCACACAAGTGTGGGGAATGTGGCAAAGCCTTTGTTAATCTTTATAGCCTTACTCGACACAAGACAGTTCATACTGGAGAGAAATCCTACAAATGTAAAAAGTTTACATATCTTTAGCACTTAAAAGACATCAAATCATTCATTCTGAATACAAATTCTGTGAGTGTGTGGAGTATGGCAAAATCTTTGGTAATCATCAGAACTTGTCCAACCCAAATGAATCCATAGTGGAGAATATTATTACCTTAATTATTTTAGAATCTCAACAGGAACATCTGACTTCCACCAGCACAAATGCTAAGAATGTCACCAAAGAACAGTAGAGACTTCTCTTTGTTGTAACCTTCCTACCAGTTTGTTCAAGCAGTGTGTTTGAAACTTGCCTTGACTTATGACTTTTTCTTCTATAACTATAATTGTTTCATGAAACTTACCATGTCATAACTTTGTTGAGTACCCTGAATATGAGATCTGAGCTGTGGTACAGTTACTGTTGTTTTTCCCAGAGATGTCACCCATGCTCTTGTAATAACATCTCCCCTGAGTGTGTAAGAATCTCCATAAACTCATATTTCTCACCATGTTGGACTTTGGTGAAACAGTTGCATTGGTAACAATCTGGGCTGAATGACATTAGTCTTTTTCTCCCCAGGAAATGCTAGCAAAACACATTATCATATTTGATTCCAGAATAAAGAATCTCATTTATTTTAAGTTCAGAACAGCATTTCTCATATAATTCTAAATGTCATGTCATAGAAATTGCCATGACATTGAAATAAAGACCTGTGTCAGTTGCACTCACTCAGCAGAAAGGATGTATTTGATTAGTGGATATATGATCATCAACAATGAAACATTGTAGGTGCAGGTCTTACTTTACTATTGATACAGATCCAAAAAAGTCATCTCAATCTCAAGTTTACTGATTTACTGTGAACTGTTAATACAAGGTAATTGAAGTCTCAACATTAACAATCACTGACTTATATAAATGATTAAGTGTCTCTAATGTGCCTAGAATTGTGTTTCTAGTCATGTTAAGTCCAAATGAAATTTATTCACAGAGATGAATGAGATGGGAAGGAAAATCCAATTATATCTCTCATTCTTTAGTCCTCTGTACATGCTGTTGAAGTACATCCTAAAGCACACATCTCAAATCATGTTTAAATTTAGTTTGTTTAATAGGGCATAATACTCAATCATATATGTACGATTTTGAAAAATGAATACTTGAATAAAAAGGGGTTCAATTTGCAATACCCTTGCCTGGCCAGACATTCCAGGCTCAAGTAGCACCATTTTCCTTGGATGGGACACAGACCCTATTAGAGTAAATGGCATGCTAGCCATACTAGAGGATAAGGATGCATGGGTAAATAAGACTTGTTGGAAGTCTGTTACTCCAGCCTCCCTCTGGCATGTAGGTCATATCAGGAAAACCACCTTAGCTATAAGGAAGATGAATTTCTCCTCATGTCTCACGTGAGAGTGGGATGAATTCAGTTGCCAAGTGGAGGAGTCTGTACCCACACCCTAAATTTCTCAAGCCTTATAGAGGCAAATAGGAATTACTCTGCCTTCAGTGTCTCTGTGACTTATGAGGATGCTGTCAATAGGGGATCTTTGCATCTAAACTGCCAGGCAAATGGTATGGAATTTACACCATAGTTCAATGGACTGTGACCTTACCCTGACTTTACAATTTTCTCCCCCTAGCAAAGCCAGTTCCAGGATGGCAGGTCAATGCCTAATGCTGTAAGGAGTCCCAAGAAAAGCTTTAAGTACCATAAGACAGAATCAGCCAAGAGGCCAGTCAGTACAGCAGGCTCAACTGTGGGCATTCATTTAAACAGCAAGTTGCAGGTGCCATCCTGTGGATCCACCAGGTACAGCTAAGGAAAGAATGCTGCTGAAGGAGAAAAAAACCTGGACTGTAAAGGCCTAGCCAGACCAGCCTCTTTGAGTCACCTCCCAGAGATGATGGCGGACCTGCCCTTCATCCCTGCTTCCTTTGCAAGCCTGGAGGCCAGAGGTCCACAAGGCAGATGCTTGAGTTATTCAACAGAGGTCACTAAAGATAGGGGTCATTATACTCCTTCCCTTTGGACTTAGTGGACATAGTAGCTAAATACATCCACGTTCTTACCTTTATGCACACAGATTCAGACACCTCTCAACACTCATCAGAAAGCATGAATTATGTGGTAGATAGAGAATAATACATAGACTCACAATTGTTCATAATGTAGAGAATCATAGCCTGTGGAGGGCACTGATCTAAACTGGACACCTATGTAGTCAGACTTTCATCAGGATCATTGACTCCACAACAATGACACAGAACTTATTATTAATCATGAAAACTCCACCGATAGCTTAGGCTTGTTTCTAACTAGCTCTTATAGCTTAACTCATTTATATTAATTTACTTTCTACCTCGTGGTTTATTACCTCATCTCCATAGTGCCCATCCTGCTTGCTCTGCATGCCCTGGCAACTCTGCCCTTCTTCTTCCTAGTGTCCTCTGTGCCTGGAAATTCTGCCTAGCTATTAGCCATTCAGCTTTTTATTAAACAAATCAGAGTGACACATCTTCACAGTAGACAAAAATATTATTCCACAGCACACTTATACCACACCCCTAGTCCCAAAACTCAGTGATCCTTTAGAGAGAAGAGGTAAAAAGACTGTCAGAACTGTATGTAGTAGATGTGTACAGTGAAACAGAATTTGCTGGAAATGTCAGGACCATTCCATGCATAATCACACTGTGGCTATTACTACTAGAACAACACCTGCACAGGCTAAAACCAGCTATAAAACCATAGATTCTTGATGACCTCATTATGTCTCACCATGAGTGGAGGAGCTATTGGCAATTGATGGTTGCTGTGAGAGACAGTCAATCTGAGAGGCTTCCAGGTTCCAGCAAATCTATGTCGGCACACACGGGGGGTGGGGGGTGGGGGGACACTAAGATGCTCAGATGCTGAGAACTAAGGTGTTCTGCATCAGTGTAACCTCAGGGAAGAGACAGGGATGGCTTTGCAGAAATTAGATGCAGTTAGACTCACCTTGTATCTTCTACTTGGCTTTGCTATGAGTACAACAGAGCAACGATGAACAGTGGCCTCCCCACCCTCCCTTACCTCCCTCCTACATCCATTTTACGACAGATGCTTTGGTTCCTGGTTATCCATCGTTACTAACATTAGGAAAAGAATGTAACAGTCAAATGAACTTGGTGGACAAAAAGTTGCAAGACAACATCGCACATACCTTCTATAGTTAATTTTTTTTGCATAAACAGTTTATTAACATGTAAATGTCATATACACATTAGGTAGAACACAGAGAAATGAATAAACCTCTAGAATGGATCACATAGAGAGGATCTAAACCTCAAGATTAAATCCTTGACAATAATATAGAAAGGTTGCTGTGTGGAAATGTAGTTTTAACAAAGAATAGCTAGGAAGTTGCTAACAAGGCACCCCAAACAAAGGTCAAGTTTTCTAGGTGTATTTGAGTCAGTGTTTTCTCTCTGCTTGGAGTCTCTGGAGACCTAGTTATAATTTATTCCTGGCACAAAAAGGGAGGTTGCCTTCCAAATGGAAATATCCTTTATGGATATTCATTTTTTCTATAAAGGAACAATTTTTTCAGAGCTGCACCCTGTGTAGAAAGCTTCTCAGGGAACAAGCTTGAGAAGTGAATAGTATAGCAGAAATACACATTTTCAAGAGAAAATAGTATAGACCACTCTCACGTGGCTCTGCTCATCTCTCTTTTTTTTTAAAAAAAAATTTTTAACTCTATTATTTAAAATGTTGAAAAAAATCACACACAAGAATTAACATGACCTGAACACTACAGAACTCATGAGCTTTTGTATAGTTAGAATGGACACTCAGAATGGAAGCAGAAGACTTCACATTGGATTTAACACTGTGTGATGGAGCAGAGGAGTGTGCAGGCCATTATTGAGTGAGGAAGTGAGCTATGGTGGGTATTAGAAGTGGCTTGTGATTCGACTCAGGTTTTAGTCTTGTTTTTTAATGTTTGTGCATGTGATTTTGCATTTTAATAAACCTTAAAGAAATTTTGATCACTTTTCTAGATATGTATAATTATCTATAAACTTGTTCACATGTGTACATATATTACTGTCTGATTATGCATATGAAGAAAACACTTAGTTTTTTCAGAGATTGAATGACCTTAATATCATAATTCTACATCCATTCATTTTCCTAGAAATTTTGTGGTTTACATTTTTCCTTAGAGATAAATAACATGTATATCTAGTATATATATTAAACATATACATATATATATATATGCGCTGATAAGAGTGTGCTGATAAGACCAAGAACAAAACCACAAGGAGATGGGCAGACGTCAAGGCAGAAGTACATACAACAAAATGAAGAGCAATACAGCATCACCAGAACCTAGCCCTCCTCCAACATCTAGACCTGAACATCAAAAAATGGAAGAAGCAGAAGAAAACAGCCTTATGAATAAGATCATGAAGAAGGTAGAGGCTTATATAGAAGGAATCACAAATGAAATTGAGGAAAAGACAAACAAAAAATGGGAAGAATGCTATAAAAAACTAGAGGAAAGGACAAATAAAGCAGAAGAAAACAATAAAGCCCTGGAAGAAAACAATAAAGCCCTGAAAGAAAATCATGAAAAAGCAATGAAACAGATGAAGGAAACAGTCCAAGACCTGAAAAGGAAAATAGAAATAATGATGAAGACACAAACAGAGGGAATGCTGGAAATAGAAAATCTGAGTAAACGAATGGGAACTTCAGATGCAAGTATAACCAACAGAATGCAAGAGATGGAAGAGAGGATCTCTGGCATTGAAGATACGGTAGAAGAAATAGATTCATCAGTCAAAGAAAACACTAAAGCCAGCAAAGTCATGACCCAAAATGTCCAAGAAATTTGGGACACCATGAAAAGAGCAAACCTACGAATAATAGGGATAGAGGAAGGAGAAGATTTTCAAAGGCACAGAAAATATATTCAACAAGATCATCTTGGAATGTCTTGGAATGTCTTGTTCAATCATTATAGATGGAGTAAACAAGACATTCCAAGACAAAGCTAGATTTAAACAATACTTATCCACAAACCCAGCCCTACAGAAAGCACTAGAAGGAAAATTAGAACCTAAGGAAGTCAGATACACCCTCGAAAACACAGACAATAGATAAAGCCACAGAAGTAAACCCCAAAGAAGAGAAGTACACACACACTACCACCAAAAAAAATAACAGGAATGAACAATCACTGGTCATTAATATCCCTTAATATCAATGGACTTAATTCACCTATAAAAAGACACAGGCTTACAGAATGGATACGAAAGCAGGACCCATCTTTCTGCTGCATACAAGAAACACACCTCAAATTCAAAGATGGACACTACCTAAGAATAAAAGGCTGGGAAAAGACTTTCCAATCAAACGGTCTTAAGAAACAAGCAGGTGTAGCCATCCTGATATCCAGCAAAATAGACTTCAAACTAAAATTAATCAAAAGAGATCAAGAAGGGCAT